GACAACCTTCACCGCGTGAACGCGGAGAGCATTAAACTGCGACCACACCACGAAGCCTTTTTTTCCTCTCTCTCTCTGTTTCCCGTCAATTCCACGCTCGGCTAATGGAACTTAATAACGCAACTCTCGGGCGTCTACGGTTGCGCGACAATCGTCGAGAAAAAAAAAAAAAAAAAAAAAGATATACACGATGTATATAATTGTACCCTCGAGAGAGAGACACCCTTTTTCCACGCGAGTAGAACACACCAACCTTCAATTATTACACCGCGGAGGGAACGTAACAACACACATTGCAATGGGGTTTCCATGAGGCACTCCCTCAATACCTAATCATCTTTGGCCTGATAATTCACGGACGCAGTAGTTTGGACGTACGGCATGTTATATCCACCAGAGACGAGTAGACGACGACTAATCTCTCTGTCTGTAATGTCAGTGCCGCAACAATGGGTACGAGAGCGAGCGTGTACCACGTCTACCGGCAGAGAAGTAGTAGAGAGATTCGAGGGTATACCGCTCTTCTCTGATTAAGCCGAGAGAGACTGGCGCTTTAATTGAACGTCTTCCTCTCTCTCTCGTTGTACAAAGACGAGAGGGCTCGAAAGGGAAGAGCTTTCGGCAGGGAGAAGAAAATCGAATACGCTTACACCCCGAGCGGCTGTGGTTTTGTGCTTTACCGAAAATTCGCTTGTCCCCCACATAGTTCATTTTTTTTATTCGTACTTGTGGAGAGATATTTTTGATATTTCTATGCAATTTCTGTGACAAGTTTCAAAATATTGATCAGGCCAGCGAGTGGAAAGACAAAAAAAAATTTTAATACGCTGGCTTTATTTTCACTCGTCCGTAGTATGTTTTATAAGATAAGCGTCATTAAACTGCAGCGTTGCGATGGATAATATGAATCATTGCGGATAGAATCGTCATATATATGAAAATAGATATTTAAAATATAAATAATAATAAGTCGTACAGCAAACACTATAAAAGAAACTATAATACGAAACAGAAATTGTACAATGTTCATGATAAGTGCGGGAGTATTCCTAGTAATAGTGGAATCGATAATGCTGTACAGCATCAGTTCAAAAATCCTTCAAATGGGTTATTGAATTAATCAATAATCATATCAATAAGATCCGCGGTCATTCCAATCCGTATTCCTGCGATTTTGTACTGAACGCTAAAAAAGTGGATCAGCGCCATCTAGCGTTGCGATTTCATGAACTAAAAAGTGGCCCTAAAATTCTGGACAAAATACGACGGTCACAATACCGCTCAATCCAGTTCTGACATCGTCACTTTTTCAGAATATAGAAGAGGGGGAAGAAAAATCTGACCGTCACACGAAAAACCAAAAGACGAGTTGGTTACCCCCACCATTCGGGCAAGCTACGCTCTGATTGGTTCGGAGTAGCTGTCGACTTTTGATACATTCGTCTGCCATTGGATGTGTTGTGGCTACTCCGAACCAATCAGAGCGTAGCTTGGCCGAATGGTGGGGGTGTCTGACTCAATTTTGGTTTTACGTATGACGGTCAATTTTTCTTTCCCCNGGTTCGGAGTAGCTGTCGACTATTGATACATTCGTCTGCCATTGGATGTGTTGTGGCTACTCCGAACCAATCAGAGCGTAGCTTGGCCGAATGGTGGGGGTGTCTGACTCAATTTTGGTTTTACGTATGACGGTCAATTTTTCTTTCCCCCTCTACTTTCGTATGCGAGAAAGGTTTACTTTGATTGGTTCGGAGTAGCCACAACACATCCAATGGCAGACGAATGTATCAATAGTCGACAGCTACTCCGAACCAATTAGAGCGTAGCTTGCCCGAATGGTGGGGGTAACCAACTCGTCTTTTGGTTTTTCGTGTGACGGTCAATTTTTTCTTCCCCCTCTTCTATATTCTGAAAAAATGATAACCTCAGAACTGAATTGAGCGGTATTGTGACCGTCGTATTTTGTCCAGAATTTTAGGGCCACTTTTTAGTTCATAAAGTCGCAACGCTAGATGGCGCTGATTCACTTTTTTGCATTTTCTGCATTTTGTACATTGTTACGTATAGGGGTACGCTACTTCAGTAGTGCGGTAGCTTTTGCAACTTTTATAACTATTGAAGTGTCTCTTTCTGGATAAAACACTTGTGAGGTATATTGTTTGAGATACCGAAGTTTCGTGAATTGCACTAATTTCTGAGTTTGTGATGTGATGTGAGTATTGGATTAATAAACATCAAAAATTACCTCGTTGAGAAAGTCGTTAATTTTCGATGTTTATTGTTTGTTTTTGACGAAACTATTTATAATAAAATTTATATTGTGATTATGTATTACCTCATTAATAATTTTTGAAATTGAATAAGAAACTTGACGTGTGACAAAAGACAATGAACTCAATGTTTATATCTGCACATCCTTTAATTTAAGTAGGTTCTTGCATGTCCAAAGTGAAATCAGTTGTTTCTGAGACTAACAATCGTTAATAAAATTTTTAAATGCGTATTATATTGCGTATGGCGGTTTTTTTCCCAATCGCTATATCATTAATGAGTGTATGTTTTTTACAGAAGCATACACTTTGCATATATAGAATGAAAAAAATGATCATTTATAGTTTGAAGATTTCATACCAATTTTGAAAGATTTTTGATTTAAAAAGAACCATTAGTCATGGAACACGAGACAAAAAAATCTATTCACGAAGCAGTTTGTTCTAAGGAAGTTGAAAAAGTTCATAAAATATTTCGAGAGTTATTTTTATTGATTTCGTTCTTCATTTATTTTAATTTTGTCGTCTAACTCTTAAGGATCCGTCTTCCGTAAATGATTATAATAAAAACTTTGCAACACCGCTACAATTGGTCTATGTTCACGTTGTTACAGCTAGTCCTAAACCAGATGACGATAGATTGCCAATATTACAGCTGCTCATCGATTATGGAGCAGGTGTAAATAAGCGAGGAATAGGAGCTTGGTTTAGATCACCACTATATACACTTTAAAAAAACCAGATAAAATTTTTTTTATCAAAGAAATTGGACAATACAATTTTTTTACATTCAATTTTTCAGATTAATGGGGTGAAGGTTCTTCTTAAATACAAAGTTGATCCAAATCTTTTAGATGTAGAACATCATACTGCTTTAGGCGACGCAGTGTTGTGTGGTCGAGATTCCGAGTTCATTAAACTGCTCCTAGATTAGAATGCTAATACCAAAATTAAAATTTGTGGGTATACACCATTACATACAATTCGTGAAACCAAATTAAATCACGCACCAGCTACTCCTAAGTTATGGGTAGGACGTCAGAATTTTCATTTCATAAATTTACATTCTCCAATTTGACATAATATTGATTTCAATATGTAGTAGTGCAAAGTGTGCTCTCATTTTCAAATCTTTGCTTCAAGCATGTAAGTCAAGTCAACAGGAGCTCATTGAATTTGTACTGAGGCACGCAAGCGAAATGCACTGATTTACGTCAATCACTTAAAGATAACAGAATTCTATTACACTACAAGTATGCAAAAAAAAACCCCCCTTGATATGGCTATCAAAAGAAGGCAGTTGTTAGACATTGCAAAAGAGATTTTTGTTTTATCTCATTAAACGGGGAAATTCATCCTCCCGCATCCACAGCCGTACCTGTCACGTTAAATGATAAAACATAGACAAAGTTTCGTCCCTGCGGACACGTAATTGTGTTTAATTCAGGATTAAACTAATATTATTATACCACGCCAAAGCACGACAATGAAATGCATGTATTTTATTTCTTTTTTTTTTTAATTTTTACAGCAGTGAAATAATGTACCATTTTCATCAACGTGTTTTTCACTTTACCCCGGAATAATAGGCACTGTTACGACAATCCTGCAATTATTATCGATGTTTGAAAATATAGTATACGCTTGATGAATTTAATAACTGCCCGAAAACAACAGTCCCAACTAAAGCTCCGTCTACGTTTGGTGTAAAATCGGAGGGAGAAAAACGTGCCATTATTCGGAGCGTAATAATAACGATAAAATCAGATTACATCAATTTTAATGGAACCCTCAAGGAGCATCAGCTGCGCGAAACACCGAGGCTCCGGCGAAACGAGTGATTGTACTCTCGTTCATTGCTTCATAACAGGGAATCTTGTGGCTTGACGAAAGTAAGAATAATACCATTTTTTTTTTTGTTCGGCTCCGGTGAAACGGCTCATACCGCGCATTTAATTTGCAAGTGTATTATTCAGACCACCGCGTTGGATAGAAAAATTAATGGCATTACTTGCGGAAACTTTTTTTTTCACACACAGAAAGCCAACTAATTGTGTGTACAAATTAAATTGAATATTAAAAATCAGACAACTATTTTTCAGATTGATTGTTGTACAATTTATTGATATGAAACTTAATAACGCATTTCGGGTTGTTTTTGTGAGACTCAGTCATTTCAGGATCTATGGGCATTGTTCTCAGCTTCCGACTTTTATTTCCTCTTTGTAAAAATGTGCTGTTTACGATAACTTTACGCACCACTTCATTCCCACCCTGATCCATTCAACGTACACTGTATAAACAAACACACCCAAATCGCGTCCGCATTCGCGAGTTTAGTTCTCTGCGTATACTTTCCTTTTGTTCCCGGATGAAAGCACAAAAGCACGAAGCTAAATTTCCCCCCCAACATCCTCCTTCATTTGTGAGCACCGGCGTATCGGGGCCCATGCATCTACCCACCTCCCACTAACGCATTACAGTCCAAACACAAAGGCTCGGAGATCCAAAAATATTCTAAACACATTGTAGGGGAGCTTCGTGAGATATCGGAAAAAAAAAGTTGGATAAAAACGTGAGGGCACGCGCAGCAACGTGTAAGATCATAAAGTTATAACGAGGCGCGCAACGATAAAACAGCTGCGGGGAATGAGTATAGGTATATACATAATACACGAGAGGGGCACGCGCATGTATGAGTATATTATATGTAGAGAAGAGTTAACTGACCTGCCGAAGGCGGAGACGCTCGCCGGCACGGGGAAAGGCAATCCGAGGCTGAGGCCCCTGAGGCCCAGGTGGGGCGGGGGCGGGTGCAGGAAGCCGCCCACTGGCCCGGCCGGCCCGACTAGCGGCACCGCGCCCGTGGCGCCCCCCTGCGTCGGCTGGTGCAGCGCCACCGGGCCCCCGGCGAGGCCGGCACAAGCGGGCCCGGCACCCCCGACAGACCCAGCTGCGGCGGCCCCCAGTAAGCCCGGGTATGTCGGCGGCAGGCCACTGACGGCACACGAGCCCCCGACAGCCGCCGCCGCCGCCGCCGCTGCCGCTGCCCCGTTCGCCCTTTGGAGGGCCCGGCGATGGTGGCGCCGCAGCCGGCGCTCCCGCCTCCTCGCGTCGCGCAACTCCTCCGAGAGGAGGTCCGTGTGGTGCTGGTGGCTCGGGACCAGCAGGAGCGAGGGCGACAGCTCGGTTTGCGCCTCCGTCGAGGCGAACGACCTGACCGGGGTCTGCTGCTGTCTGTCGCTGGCATCGCTCGTAGGAGCCACATCAGGTGTCACCTGCCGATCGAGGCAGGGGGGCTCGTCGCCGTTGGTATTGTTGCTCGCAGGGGTGGTGGCAACGGTCTCGCCGCCGTCCACCCTGACGACGCTCACGGGCCTGGGGGCACTCTCTGACAGCGCCCCGGCCATAGTACGCCCCTGGACATGGATCTCCACGGCAACGCGCCTCCTCGTCGCTGCTCTTTCTCTCCCTTCCTCCCGGTCGTGTATCGGCGCGCCTCCCTAAGCTCCGCCGAGGTGATCCTTTGTTCGGGAGGAGCGGCTCGCTCGGTGTATCTTTAACGAGGCTAATTCAGCCCGCTTGCGGTTGGAATGGAGCCTCTCACTTTGCCAAAGACGTCGGCGACGTTGCTTGTCTCTTCCGACGGGCGCACGGTGCTCCACGAGACATGTGCCGTGTATACACTTATATACCTGTGTGCGCTCTCGCGTGTCCTTTTTCTTTCTTCTCCTCCTTTCTTTTTTCCGCTCGCCGCCACGAGAGAGACTCTTGCTGCCTCGCTTCGTCTTTTATCTGCTCTTTGGGTGTTTTTTTTTCTTCTTCCTTTTTCCTCCTCTGATGCACCGGAGGAGCTCTCTTTTCTCGCTCTGTAGCTGGTCGGCAGCCAACGAGGGAAGGGAGACGAAAGGATGCGACTCCTCCGATCGATGGCTCAAGGACTTGCGGCGGCAATTACCAGCGTGTAATGCTGTTTGTCGCCGGCTCGAAGTTAATTTGTTGTACAGACGAGAGTTTTCTCGCGCTCGAAGATACGCCGGGGTGTACAGCATATGTATATACAGCTTGAGTGCCAACGGAGCCGTTGCTGCGGGGGAGGATCGGTTGCGCCCCCACGTGCTACCGATGAAACTGTACGAGGGTGGTGGCCGTCCCGTGTGGGTGAGCCCTTAAATTAACCCGCCGACGCTTGCGGGAGAAACGATGGTCGACTATCATCGTCGCCTTGGGCACGGCGACGTGTTTCGTTGCCGGTCGAACTCTTCCTCTTCGCCGGTGGCTGCCGACGCGAGCGCGAGACTCATGCTGATGACCATCAGCGCGGATCACGGAGAAGAAGACCACCACGACTCATTCCGGTTCCCGCTTTCCTTGGAACTGGTCCGCGTCACGGGCCTCCTCGTCCGCCTCACTGAAACACGTACAAAGAAACAACGAGCGCTCGGTTATTATCATTATTGTTTTTTTTATTTCAAGCATATATATATAGTCAAAGGGGGGACAGCCAGAGTTTTTCACTCGGACGCGCCCATGTATTGCCTATGGGTGTACGAGTGTAAATTGTCAGAGTATAGGAGTACAGCTCGCGCGGAACGCGATTATTTCCTTTTGTCCGCTCGCGTGATCGGTACGTGTGTCGTTGAAGGGGGCATGGTTGTCGGTATGGATTAATGGAAAATCGGGGGAGCGAAACGAAAAACAGGTGTGTTGGTATAACGCGTGCTTATAACGGACAAGCACCTCGTTCGCACCTTGGTGCTGTTTTTGCTTTTCGATTCGGAAGTATACCGATCAGACTTTTGTGAGTTCTCCCTACCTTCTTTCGATCGAGATCGATGCCCTCGTGGGGTGACTTTTCTTTTCTCCGGATCGCGGTGATCGGTGAATCGGTATGGTTGGGGCCTTTTTATCTATCCCCCAATCGCAACTTATGCATATGGATTTTAGCTCGAGACTTTTTTTTACGGACATTACGTGTAACCACGTACTACTTGGACCCTAGGATATCCGTAATCAAAGAATATAATCGATGCTCGTACTGTCATGCTCACAAATTGTAACACGTGATGTCTGTGAACGAATTTCGCCACGGCGCCCGTTTTAGTGGGGGGCATTTTAGTCTCGCCGACTCTATTTGCGGGGGTGGGTCTCGTTATCGAGTACTTACTTGCGTGAAAGTTATTGCAATGATAATTTTGTTAATGACGAGAAAGCGTGAAACCGGCACCGTTGTCTGTCGGAACACTCCGAAAGCATTGTTTATGGGCGTTGAAAATCAACTAGGCCAAAAGTAAATGTATATGCACTTGCCATATCCCAATTTGGAGTGTATATCGTTTTATGGTAATATTATTAACAGTGTAAATGTGATCTCGAGAATGATGATAAGGAAGTATCTTGTGATTCGGATTCTATATACTTTTTTATGCAATGCGAATGAGACATTTATGTAAATGAGTAAGTAATCGACGTTCGTTTCAACATAATAGACATTTTTCAACGCACGGGAAATTTATCACTTGGTCATCTAAGGTCCACTCCAGCGATCCGTATATCTCTCAGAGATGAGGTCAAAGTTCAAATATCGATCATATAACCAAAACTATGCAGCAGCTTGATCAAAGGCAAATGAAAATAATCCAAGTACCTATTCAATTAAAAAATAACAAGAACAACAACAGTATAAAACTCAACCAACTGCACCATTATTCAGTCTCATTTAAAAAGACTGACGTAAGAGGCGCCACAACCCGAACAACCCCAACCTAATAGAAGGTTAATACACCGGATGGAAAAAAAAAAAAAAAATTATAACAGGGAGGACGGGGCGCGCAAGAGCCAAACCTCACATAAATCCTTACCTCCGCCAGACACACCCGAGCATTGTTCCGTACCTATACACCTACTTACGGGAAAACATTTTGATTGGCGAGTAGAGCTAAATTGTGTGGCGGCAAAACTTTGAAAAAGAGCGCATAGGAAAGAAAGACGTGTAGAGAGAAAAAAGGGAGGGCGAAGTCCGCGGCCGGCTCGGTAACTGTACGGGCGTATACGTTACCGTCGTAAATTACCGTCGCGTTCGCGCGATCGTTTTGACAAACGGTACCTCTCCTCTCCTTCTTCCCTTTACTCGCTCTCTTCTCTCAGCTGCTCTCGGCAAGCGTGCGCCCATATACCCATCCCAAGTATGTATTATTATAGCACGTTGGTACACCAAAAGTAGCCCGTACAGAGTGCGAGCGCCCTATAGATACTACATAGGTACACGTACGTCTGTTCCATGGGCTCGACAGTAGTCTTTTCAAAATTTCCATCGCTTTTCACGCGCACGTACGCACACAGTTCCATACATGCACACACCTCTGCAGCTTTCGATGGCAAATGCGACCGACTGACCGAGAGCGCGCCTTCGCAGCTCACAATGGTCATACGGGTACGCGTGTGTCTGTGTGTGTGTGTAGCTTAGCGATCTCGCGCTTATGGACCGTATCCACTACCGTAATGCGAACAGCTCTCGGCTAATTGGCTCTCCTTGCACTCCTTCTCGAGAGGCCATTCTTTTCTCTCTCTCTTTTTTTATTTAAAGGGGAGTTCCGTTTTTTTTTAAGCCCGCGAGTCGCGATCTTTCTTCCGTTTTATCTCTCATGCGCGTGCCGGGGTTGTTACTCGTTTAATTAAGAGAAGATAACACAATGGCCCCGCTAACGCGCCCAAAAGAACGAATGTGCATGATGCGGGGAGAAGTTGCAGTCGAGTTACGAGGTCCCTCTATTGTCGTGCTATTTGTTGGAGGGCTTTTGTCACCATTTTTTTTTCCACGGCGTATGAAAAATACAGATTTTTTGGGGGGATAAATATTATCACGAGTGTCTGTATACTCGAGGAATTTAAACCAATATGGTTTTGCAAAAATGATGACGATTATAATTATGAACAAGTTAAAAGTTAATCGTTACTTAATGGACAATGATGAATATCAGATGTTTTGATTAATTTAGAAATGTTTTTTTGAAACGCAAATTTTGTAATCAATGATACTAATAATTACTTTTACTCTTGTATTACAATAAGTTGCACCTAAACAATTTTTAACAGTTTGTGATCACGAAACGAAAAAAAAACCAAGGGTTGAGGGGAACTGAATTTCACTCGAGTTTCCCCGAGTAGGTATAATCTCTATACACTTACCCGTGACAATCGCTCTCCGCGCGATTTACAAAGACTCGGGCTACATAAGTATACGGTCGATTAGTTCGACTTCCGTACTTTTACTCGAGCCTGACTTTTCTCTTTCCTTTTTCCCATCTTATATGGGTACATCTGTTGCAACACGTACTCGATAGCACACCGATCAGTGTCACGTAAAAATTTTTTACTCCTAGAAACCAAAATTACCCACTGCTGGCTAATACATTTTGTTTACAGTCAACATTATTTCCATCTCTTTTACAGAAAAAAAACAGCGAATACTCGATTTAACGTTTGCAATAAAATAACCGGAATAAAAATCCTTATTAAATGTAATCCCTTTGGGCTGAAATTTTAAAAACCTGTTTCCATGCACATAGTCCACGAGTCGGGTTGCAGGTTTATTTTTGTTTCGGCTCCTGCACTGTGACTCGACAATCCAATGTACAGTTACTGCTATGGAGGGAAAAAAAAAACTAATGATACCATCAAGCGCGGAGCGATAGATAGAGTCCAAAGTGATCCTTTCATCATTTTTATTTTCTATGATCAAAAAAGAAAAATTTGCCTGCCAAACGACACTTTACTCGGAAAAATATAGCGGATTGTTAATTTCAGAAAAAGTATTATTTTCTTTCCCTCGTACAATCGATATATACGTACCTATCTCTTATCTCAATGAACCCATTAATCATAGCTCAAATAAATTTTTAAAAAAACCGTGTATAGAAGCGCGAAAAGTCCCACGAATGAAAGGTAACGTCGTGATGAGAGTACCCGATCAAAAACAGCTCATCGAATCGTCAATTGGCCCCTTCGGGGCATGGTATGCTTATTCATCCTTAAACTCCTCGTAATACCCATCAGTTTCAGATTGACAGAGGTCATACATGTTCAGTTCCCGTAGATGTAAGGGCTTCGTATTTTCCCCTGCTTACACGTATATTCGTCCACGAGGGGCCCTTGCATTTTTCTGAATACAAAGTAGGAAGCAACTCCTCGCGCGGACGAACTGTGGGGGGGGAAAAAAAAGAATACGGCAACCGTACACCGTGCGGCAAAACGACGAAACGGGAAAGCGGGTCATGTACCTATACCGAGTCGAGCCACGCGCAGCTGGTACAAGCAGATATATAAGTATTTATTATGTACGCATATTATGAGAGAGCCGAATCAAATGGGTACGCGCTTACCCACACACTCTGCTCGAAATAATCACCTTGACGGTGTTCCCCCTCGTGGGTATACCAGCTGTTTTCTACCGGGTACTGCACAAATGTCGTCAAAGTTTGAGGATTCTTGTTTCGTGAAAGTATGGTTAAAATTATTTATCACCGGGTTTGAGCTTCGATACGTTAATGTTCATAGGCAAAATTTAAATTTCGTTGTTTACCCCTTACGGAAATGATGTAGAAACTAGTTTCATGCGAGTAATCTCAGCTCGTCTGTTTGGTTTAGGTTGGTCTCTAATCATAAAAACCAACCGTTTTCAAGAAGACATTACAACAGAGAATAAATGAATTGTTATGCAGTTTTCAGGTGACAAAAATCCTGGAAAATTAGAACGATCGATCCATTTCAAAGCTTCAGTTTTTCCATTCCAAATTTGCATAAAGTGGGTTTTTTACCAAATTTATCGAGGTAATTGATGGAGAAAGGGTCTGGTCGGATGTTAAGTAAAAAAAAAATTAAAAAAAGTATTTCTTTTATACTGGACCACTGCGCGCATCCAACAAGCGACAAAGAAGATAATGAACCACTACGGAAATGAAACCGATCGACCGGAAGAGGAAGGAAAAAAAAAAGGCGGAAAGGACGTAGAGAGCGCGCTATTTTCCCAAGTCGATCTCGCGCGCTCTCAAGCTTCTCTCCTGCCCGCTCTCCTGGGACACAGCTGTGCCCTCTGCAATCGCCAAGGAACTCGACAAACAAAAACAGAGGATCGAGTACTTGGAGAAAATAGCGAGTGAGTACTCAGTTCAGCTGGAAAATTCCATCCAGCTAATAAATTCTTTAAAAGCCTCCAACGAGGAGAAAGATGCGACCATCGCAGCACTCCTTGCGAAATCCCGGCAAAGACTATAGCCATGCTCGTCTCCTGGAAAAATCCCAGGAAGAAACTGCAGAAGATAAAGGTCAACGGAGTAGAAATCGACTGGAGCTACTCCGCCAAGTACCTTGGCGTAACGCTAGACCGTCGACTCACGTACGTTCGGCACATCAACTGCACCCGCGGCAAGGCATACGGAGCCTTCGTGCAACTAAAGCCCTTCTTCTTTCTTCTCCTATGCCCTTTTGTTTTCTATGGGAGTGGTCCTCACGGACCTGTCCCATGCGGGGAGGTTAGTTTTTAGTCGGTAGGCACACCGGGTGAATCTGACACTACCACCGGATTAGCTGGGGTGTCTATGAAGATTTTCCCCTCCCCGTTCCATCAAACAAAAAAAAACAAAAAAAAACACTCAAACGCGCAATGGGATATACTAGGCATATGTACCACAACTGTATATATATTCCCGGTCGGGGCACTCAGATTTTTTCTGATGGTTCTTGCCAGGTATCGAATCCATGAAACCGACTTAGGGATGAGGCTTAATTTTAAGATAAAAATAAAAAATACAAAGTGATTGAAAAATAAGAATAAGAAATGTGAAAAGTTTTCTCGATGACTGGTCCTGCGTCACCGGGAAGATATATAAATAAAAACATACAAGCGAATATGAAGAGACATGTAATGACAGCGAAAAAATAAGAGAAATGTGTACAATGATATGATGTAACGATATGTAAAAAGACAATGTAAAATGATTCAATGAATAAAGGAAAGGAAAAGTGCACATACCCATAGTAGGTCAGTACACTATAATATAAAAAAAAAAAAAAAAAAAAAAAAAACCATATATAATATGAAATCCTCTCGGCGGCCAGGCATCAGCTCACGCGATCGGAATCGTTCGATCGGCTAAAGCGAAAAGAGCACCGGAGCGGCCAGACTTTCACTCGGCGGCTGCCACCGTCTAACTTTACTGATACACACGTATATACAGGGGATCGGTAAGCCAACAGTAACCCCATATACACACAAGCTCTCGGATTGGTGCACTTACACACGGGTTATGTGTATACTTTTGGTAAACGTGTACTCTAATATACACCCACACAAACGAGCCATTCCTCCGTCGAGTCCCCGTTCTTTCTCCGATGCCCAAAGTTTTAAATGCGGGAGGAGAAAGAGATACTTTATCCTCTTTCTGTAGTGCCTCGACACGCGCGGTAGGTTTACAGAAAAGCCGAGTAAGTACCTCACCTGGTTGGCTGGCGTTGCCGCTGTAAAAACGCTTTTTCTCTCTCTCAAGAGCACGAGCGCGCGCGGAAAAAAAAAGGGCTAAAGAAAATTGTTGCCGCTGCTTTTACGGCAGCTTCTTGTGTGATAAAGGGAAGGAGAGCTGTACAAGTGGCGTATTGTAAAACACAAGCGCGCCCTCGAGCTAATGGACGTCGCGGTGCACGGGCGTGCGAACTTTTGGCCCCCTTATTTTTCGATAAGTACATATACACATACCACGAGTGCACGTGTATTTTCTATGATGCCTTTTCAACGCGACCCTTCTTGCCTCAATTTTTTTAAGCAATTTCAAACATTTTTGACGGTACACTTTACAGAAACTTGATTAATTAAAATTTTTATTAAGAGCGAAACGCGTTAATTAAGCCCAATTAATATCAGCAGGTCCAAATTACTGTAATTTCGAGTCCAACGCTGCTAACGAGAGTTGAGTTTCCGCGCGATGACGCACGTACCAGTCCTCAGCCTCGTTTATTTTCGCGATCAGCGTCGCTATTTACCGAATATCGATGATTAAAAGTGTATTTTAAAAGCTCGGGATAAATATGGTAATCGAAAAGCGCGGGTTTTACTAGGCACTCGAAAAGACGACACTCATAAACATATATTTATATTTTGTACACGACGTCTTTGAGATTCTCAATCAATTTTTAGGTCATGATTTTTTCAACCAATGAATAATCATTGAAGGACATTGATAAAGTAACTTTGTAACATGATGTCTTGGGTCCCAGAGATACATATTATATATTAGAGTTTCTCATTCAACATTGTGTTTGTAGAATCCGTCCGCGTATATAAGTGCTTATTACATGTTGCTGTCAACAAGTCTGTTTAATATGATTCGATTTGAAATGTTTTTCGAGATGATCGGTTTATGTAAAACATTTTATTTTTAGTTTTTGTAATCATTCACAAGTTGTATCGATAATTTAGATAATAAAATAAAGAAATCTTCATTTTACTTGTATTGTACCAAACGATTTCTCGACTGTATCGATGCCAGTTTGCGCAATCTTCACAAGAATCTTTCGTATTATCTTGTGATCTTAAATAAACGCGGCCAGTTGTATTATCACCAACAAATATATGCGCAATAAAATCCCAAGCTCTGTAATCAGTAACGTACTGGAAAATGAATTACCTAATTCAAAGGCAAATACCAATCGTGCGTTGCTTTCATAAAATATGTAGGGATTACAGTGTAAAATGGTTATATATACTACAAAAAAAAAAATCGCAAGAAAGATATGCAAGCCGAATAAAAATAATTAAGACTCCGATAACGCTACTTTTCTGTATTTATATATACATCCTAACGGAGCGTTTGTATTAATTCGAATATACTTTAATGTTGCTACTGAAATTTATACTCTTACGTACGGTAATCTGACCGTTAAAATAAACTTCCGGTCGATTTTAATTGTAAAATCACATTTGAACGTAAATACTATTTGATTAATGTATGTGAAACTCAAAAGCAGTATTTGTTTGAACCACAATAATTACTTCAACGGATAATGTGAATGAATGGATGATAATTGTTTCAGCTTGCAAATGTATTCATCTGAAAATGCAAGTACGTTTTCGTATACAAATATTCATCTAAAATAAATAGGCATATAACTGATTTACAAAGATATCGCTGAGAGCAATATTTTTTTTACTGCTGCAAAAAGACACGTCGATGGAAAACTTGATTTACCGGTATTTTCAAAATAATTGTCTTTATACCCACATCAACAAGAGATTCCTCGAGTTAAATGCCTTTTTTTCCAGCTGCAAAACCAGTTTCATGAGAACAGAGAAAGAAAACGTTGAGATGCATCGTTCTCTTTCAATGACTTTTTGTTTTTATATTGGGATATTTATATGACGTTGAATAAAATTAATTGGCAGATTTAGCTTTTTAAAAAATACAACTTTTAGTGAATTATTTTACAAGCTTTTACTACACGAATCAGGATACAGCAATTTATACTTTTAGTTCAACAGAACAATTTCATTATTTAGAATTATTACTGAGATTTTTTTTTTCAAGTGTCACGTTAGATATACTTGCAACTTACTTTCTTACAAAAAAAAATGTTTTTCATCCACCTCATGAACAAGCTGTACTAACTAAATAATGATTTTTCTATCCATTCAAATTATTTCCCGTAGACAATGTGATAAAGAAAAAAAATGTACTAGAATATGATCTAGGATTTTAAATACATGGGTACTTTGTTCATTTGAAACAATCAAAAAAATAAGGTAATGGCTCCAGTTTATGTTTTCAACCAAGAGATTTTAAAAAATTTTCATCTCATTGCCGTTAAAGATTAAAATAGCGATTTAAAAAAAAAAAATCACGTAATCTTGCAATATATTCGAACCAAACTAATTTCCAAGGCATCCAATAAAATTCGTACCATTACTAGTAGCTAAGTTTCGTACAGTGCATCACGTAAGAAGTACAGCTCGTCCTGTTCTTTACAATTCATCGACTGCATCGGCAGCATATTAGGCTATGCGGATTAGGTACCTATTACAGACAACACAACGCGCAAGTAGGTATAGGCATGCAATTTAAGAACATGATTATGAAGCCACGACCATAACGATGAAGAGAGAGCATTTTACCCTTTTTGGCTAGCACTTGTGTGTATACAAGAGATCAACTAGAAAGATGGAAAAAAAAAAAATAACAATAAGATAGGACAAGGGAATCAAGTGCACAGTAGGACAGAGATACATTGATGATGGCTACAGGAGCAACAGCAGCACGAAGGAGAAAAAGAGAGGCCGTCCGGTGCACACTGTCCGTATATAACAGTAGCATCTATCTATCATGCATCCGTGTACCTATATATTCGTACACATGCAAGCTGTATTCAAGCAGGAAAACGGGCCCGCGCGCTCGTGAAGAAAGTGTCACGGAACGGAGCTCATCCTCAATAATAAATAAAAAAAAAAAAAAACATCCCAAGATTAGACACACACAAGGAGCAAGCTAACAATAAACAACGCAGCTTCGTAACGGCTATACTTAGTCGGTCGATAGCTAATTAAAAATAATTTTTTTTAAATGTAAACAAAGGAAAAAAAGGAGCGCAGCGTTTTGCTTGTGCATTGTTTTGTCAAAAAAAAAAAAAAAAAAGCACAAGTAAGTATTGTAGTAAAATGTTGATCAGGAGTTGGACGGATGTGCTGAATTCGACGAGTAAGAATAAATGTACAAGTATACTAACCGTAAGTGCATCGAGAGAGCCGTTGGTCCTACAATGCATTAATTCACATCATGTGTGTATGCACAGGAACAAGATGATACAAGCAGTATAGGTATAACTTATTCGCCAACAATGAAACAACTCAGGGGATCATAATGTATGATGATAATGATTATTACTGCACGCGGACAATGGGCACAAACAAACACACACGCGGCACAAATCGAGAAACAAATTAGATGCGTAGAGAGAAAGAGGCAGGACACGCGTTTGCCAGCGAGTCGGGAGAGGGATATATGTATGCAGGGAAGGAAAAGAGTCCTTTGGACTCGCCCGCTAGAGGCAGCGTCCTGGCCGTGAATGTTACCTCGGCGGCATACGAATACAGTAACAATGTATCCTTGGGACACTACTCCGGAGGATAAAACACCAGAGTTACCTTACGCGGGTGCATGAACATTCGTGAACATTTGACAATAACTAAACGGAAAAACCGGAGCGCGTGGTATGCGGGAGAGCACGCGACCACGACGCACAACTGGTAAACACGCAAACACTGCGTTGTAGTATTGTAGGTATACAAGGTGATGAGAAAAAAAAAAAAAGTATACTTTGTACCCGGAGAAGTGTGCACTGCACGCTTTGCGCGACGGGCGAGCACTGAACACACGGCGAGAGCGAGCACTGCAGCCCGGGTGTAGGTATCAAGGGGACGAAGCGAGGGGAACGAGGCGAAGAGAACGGCGGCGGCGGCGGCCCAGGGCGCACGCGAGGAGAGAGCTGGCATGGTGCTGGAAAAAGAGAACGGCCACACCGGCGCGCGGGACACGCGAGAGAGTGTACGTGTGTACCTACGTGGTTTTGAATTCCCGCGTCGTGGGTGTAAATCTCGAGCGAGAGAGCAAAGTTTGCCATCAGCTGCAGCGCTGGATATGTAGATGGATGGGTGTCAGGATATCCTTGGAGCTTTCCACCTGAATTCGTTGAGCCTCATATACACAAGCCTACCTCGTGCTTTAAAGCGACAAAAATAAATTTTTTTTTTCCAATTGATTAGAGATCGACGAAAACGTCGATACTTGAGGATCCCACTGAATCTTCACAGAAAACGAGTCCAAGTCCTAAAGCAAAACAGCAAAACAGCACAATATATAATTGACAACGTTTATATCCGCATCTAACAACAGTTACTCGAAAAATATCTACTTAGCCATTAGTTCGTGTTCTCTCGAGTGCCATTCTCGTCTTAGATAATCAAACAAATAGACCATAGACAAGTTTCAAGAATAGGACTATGACTAATCGTCTACTATTAACTTGATTACATGTACAAATTGCTACAATTAATAAAAAACGTAGCGTAAAAGTTAAAAGTCAGGGCATGTCCAACGATTTCCGTGGTGCTACAAATCGATCACAGAAGTTGTAATCATTCGAAACAAAAATTAATTTTATTTAAAAAATGATTGTTTGTGACTAGGTGTGAAAATTTAAAGGGATTAAAAAATAAAGGAAATGCTGAACTTCCACACTACATTTGCCTACCCTTACATCTGCGCTCACGCGCGTATACATACTTAGTGAGGGCAACTTTGCCAATACTTATTACCATTGTCTCTTTAATACTTGGGGCCTTTTATCTGAAATGTTGCGTTAAATTTAAAGAAGACACGGAGTCCTACACTTCCAAGACAACCAAAGATCTGATCTTTTTAACTTCATTTGATGTGAATTCACGCAGCTTCTTACACCCAACCAGCCAAAATAACAACAAATAAATGCTAGTGACTGCGATTGTCGGGGTATAGGATGTATTTTGTACGAAAGTTTATCAATCACATAATCATGCACTAATCAATAACGGGGCCGTCGGCATCGTGTAGTCAAAAAATACGTACATCGGCGACAGTCATCGTACTTTTTTTTTTGTGTTCCCATTCAAGTATTTGTACGCGCCCTAGATGCTTTGTCTTTCTTCCTACTTACTCGTTGGTTATCACTCTGATTGCCCAACTCGTGGTGAGCATAGCGACTTCGAATGCGTCCGTTTTTTCGGCGATCGTCTCAGAGAGCTGTATCAGCTTGCAAATGGTAAAAGCTAATCGCCCCTGATGGAACCGCAGTGCTTAATTCGTGGTACCCAGGTACCCACTATTGAGTCGAGCTGCGTACAGGTGGAGGACTTTTGATAAAAGATTTTTTTGTTTCTTAGGCTATATTGATACGTGCTCTTCGGTGAAAAATGCTTATTGATGCTCCCGACTCAATGAAAAACTACAATTTTAAATATTTCGAAAAATGAATGTTTTTCAGATACATTCTTCATTCGATAGGTCAGAATTTTTTTTGGTATGCTTAAAATTTTTTTTTCATCGCCCCATATCTCGTTTCTCGATGAATGGGGAGCATTAGTTTAAATGGACGAAAAGTTGGAAATCGCTTCTGCTGCAATGTTACCAAGTGTCATCCGGTTATTTTGCTGATGCTATTATTACGCAATACGTATCATTGCTCTAATCTAACTATATCGATATTTTGACCTCCAAGCTCCCATGAACGATGTTTTTTATCGATATTTTTGGTAGTGATATATCACGATATCGATATAAAAAGAAGCGATATCGAAATCCCATGAGGAAAAAACCACGAACACTGGGTTGGGTGTATACACACTAACACAATTTCTACGGGCGAAATATAAAAAAAACTATTTGGTGATTGGCTAGTTGCCAAATATATAACGTATTGGTGATATTCAAACTTCGCGCGTAACAATCAATGGCGAGTTGACGAGTGTACTTATTTAATTATTCTATTAGTTTGTGTATTGCGAGCTGTTATGTAGTTTGAATTAATAAAGTTTGTGTAGTATGTATCTGTAGTTCTTTTAATAATTAAAGAGAGCATCGGACATGGGGTTAAAGGCGACAAATAATTTGTTAAAACAGTGTTAATTAGTGTTGATGCAAGTTTTTTTAATAGTTCTTAAAACTAATGTATTATAAGAAATATTCTTTCATTAAATTATAAATTTTAGAACGTTTCTATCGATATTTATGGTATCGATAAATTTTAACCCAATTTCTTTTATTATCGAAAATTTTTCAGGTGAACATGCATAACTAGTAACAATCGCATCGCGAGCAACATTTGCATTAAATCATTAATACCAAAACTCGATGATGCATAGAGTACTACGGTTAGATTACTTTAGTGGCCCTGAAAAGGGCCGGTTGTTCAGGTCGAATTTATCCGCCAAAACCGTAGAGGGTACGTCCTTGCCTTTTGAGTGCGTAAACTACGTCCATAGAAGTGACGGTCTTTCTTTTAGCATGTTCGGTGTAAGTCACAGCATCCCGGATGACATTTTCGAGAAAGACTTTCAGGACACCTCGAGTTTCTTCATAGATGAGGCCAGAAATCCGCTTCACACCCCCTCGACGAGCAAGTCGGCGAATAGCGGGTTTCGTGATACCTTGGATGTTGTCACGTAGCACTTTGCGATGACGCTTAGCTCCTCCCTTGCCCAATCCTTTACCGCCTTTTCCACGACCAGTCATGATTACAAGATGATACGGGCTAGAGAATCTACTAAAGGCCTTCTGCGTCTGGCTGTCTGTGAGAATATGATCGCTTGGTCAATCCACCAGCGCGCCTCTCGTCCTCCAAATCTGCCCCCTCCATGACCCCACTCTGCTTCGAGGTGGGGGAAGACTTTTTGGTCTATTTTCGTGGAAGGGGTAACGTTTCTACACTAAACCGGCTGCGACTTGGAGGGGGTAAAATTGGAAACTGGCAGTCCTGGCACACATCACGACAACATAGATTCAGTACGTCATCGTCAGTCGAGCAGACATTATCATATATCTCCCGATTCATCTACAATGGCTCGCACGAAGCAAACTGCCCGCAAATCTACTGGTGGGAAAGCCCCCAGGAAGCAATTGGCTACCAAAGCTGCTCGCAAAAGCGCACCAGCTACCGGAGGTGTGAAGAAACCTCATCGCTTTAGACCGGGAACTGTTGCTCTCCGAGAAATTCGTCGTTACCAGAAAAGCACGGAGCTTCTGCTGCGCAAATTGCCCTTCCAGCGCCTAGTTCGTGAAGTGGCTCAGGACTTCAAAACTGACCTTCGCTTCCAAAGCTCTGCTGTAATGGCACTCCAAGAAGCTTGTGAAGCGTACCTCGTTGGATTGTTCGAGGATACGAACCTATGTGCCATTCACGCCAAAAGGGTTACCATCATGCCCAAGGACGTTCAGCTAGCAAGGCGTATTCGTGGAGAACGTGCTTAAGTTAGCAATTCATATAAATCGGCCCTTTTCAGGGCCAACATATTATTCACAACGTAACTAATACTCTCATGTGTATAACTCCTGTTATGTTTAAACTGCATAACTATACATAACGGGTGCGGGTACTTGAACGACCTCAGCTCCCTAATTCTATTGTTACGACCTTCCAGGAAGCTTGTAGAGCGTACCCCGATGTTCGAGGACACAAACTTTGGCGCAACTCACTTGCACCTGAAAGGAACATGCCCAAAGACGTTCAGCTGACAAGGCACATGCGGATAGAACGTCCCTGGGTTGGCAAATTCAACCGGTCCTTTTCGCGGCCAACACCTCATTAACAACGTGACTTACCCTCCTTTTCTGTAATAATGAAATTCTCTGTGGTTTCGAAGGAACGGTTAAGTCGTACGAGAACTAGGACCGTGTCTTCTCAAGCTCTGCTGTGACGGCACTGTGAGGGCTCGTGAAACCTAACATTGTTCGAGGACACGAACCTCTGCAATTCCCGTCAATAGGGTCACCACCGTGCCCATGCCCAAGGGCATGTAATCGGTGTGTGCGTGCATAAACTAGCGATTGACTTTTTAAGGATATGTTTCATAAGTTTCATGTGACGGCACGCTATCCGACATGAGGTACCTGCTAATCGTGTGCAAGCACTACGAGGCATCGAAGTATTTTACGAGCAACTTAACAAGTGTATTAACATGTACACTAACAACTACTTCTGTGCATGTTTCGCAAGGAGTTGAGTAAGCTGCATACTTGGTAATTGAAGGCTCGTATTCTTTGCAATTAAAAAAATTAACGTTTGATGAAAGAGTTGTGACAATAACACTTAGTTTTAGACCTGCATTACCCGTAATCAGAGTAACAATTTTTTTTCAGCTAAAGAGAAAACTGCTAATTAGGTAATTAGCAATTAGAATACGTGACAATGGCCTGTAAGCTCCATCTTGAGAGTAAAAAAAATAAAATCAAGAAAACGTCAGTCGCGCCCCTGACGGAGATTTTTCCGGAAACAAAAAGGCAAAATCGCCAACGGGCCACCCCCACTACTGCCTCTTTCTCAATGAGCTGGCTTGTGATTGGCTCGGAGTAGCTGCGATCGCAGCAACGCCGAAAAAAATCGCCTGTCAAAAAAAAATGCCCAACAAGGCATAGTTAAGCTCTGACTCGTTACGAGAAAAGTTGCATTGAAAAATCTAGTGTTTGAACAATGACGGGACGTGGCAAAGGTGGTGCAGGAAAGTCTAAGGCGACACCGAAGACGCGGTCCTCCCGTGCGGGTCTGCAGTTCCCGGTCGGTCGCGTCCTCCGACTCCTGAAGAAGGGCAACTACGCCGAGCGTGTGGGTCCTGGGGCTTCGGTGTATCTGGCCGCGGTACTCGAGTACTTGTCCGCGGAGGTTCTCGAGTTGGCTGGCAATGCTGCCCGTGACAACAAAAAAACCAGAATCATCCCTCGTCACCTCCAACTAGCCATTCGCAACGACGAGGAATTAAACAAGCTACTCGGCAACGTAACGCTCGCCCAAGGGGGTGTCCTTCCCAACATTCAAGCTGTGCTTTTGCCCAAAAAAACCGAAAAAAAGCCATCCAAAGAGTAATCTTAGTGGAATACAAAAAACGGCCCTTTTCAGGGCCAACAATTGTAGATGAAACGTCGCAACTATTCTATGATTGTTTATTATGTTTTCAGATCTCTTTATTTAAATTATTTAATCTATTATAGAGTGCAGGTGCTTTTATCAGGTTGTAATTGACACTACCGCTGGAACAGCCGGGGTGTCTACGAAGATTTTCTCCTCGCTCCTTCAAACAACAAAAAATCAGGTCGTAATCTAAGATATAGAGCGCCACTTGTTTGACATTCTTTACCAATAAAGGAGCTTTTGGCTTGGATACGAGTTTTCAGTCAATCCGACTCGTCGGACACAATGTTGTAACTTCTTATTTTACTAGTTTTTGTAACTTTGGACTCCTGGGTTAGTGAGTTCACTGGTTATTATTCACCCTTATTGGCAAGTTAAAAACGATCACACGCGTCAACGTCTTGGTTCAGATAATGCCCTTTTTACTCATCGGAGGATGGGATTCGAAAAGTTTTTAGTTCAAATTGTACTACGTACATTTAAAAGTTGTAAATAAAATGATAGTAACGATCGTTACAGCTTATTATCTAAATAAAGTGGAAATGAGGATATGTGTTCCATGCATAATATTATTCAGGCGTATTTTATGTGAAAAACCGCTTACAGTTTGTTACATTTCGAAAATTCGTATCGAGCTTGTAGAGTGTATGTGTATGTACAAGCAACGCAGGTATGTAGACTCATCGATCAGCTTCGTTTCGCTTATAGGTATTAGGTTTACACGAGTAATTGATTTGCGAGAGCGGAGCAAACGTTCCCGAGACTGATAGGCGGGTTTATTGGAAGCGAGGCGATGATTGATTTTGGAAATGGGAAGGCTGGCCAAAGGCATATGAGGACGGCAGGGGTTCAACGCCGCTGCCATGGGCGCAATATTAGGCTTATCGGTTGTGTTCACGGAGATTGCGATAACGAGATTGTGTCTCCCTCGTATGTACAATGTGTTGTGGCGTTAGTTTGGGGTGTTTTTTTTTTTTTTTTTTTTTTTTTTCTTGCTTCTCGTTAAAACAAGAGTGACCTGAGTTAGGAACTTTTTCAATCTCAATTTGTTGTTTCAGTGTTGAAATTAACCACTTCCAAATATTTTGGACAAAAAGCACTCAAGTTGCGAAGAAATACATGCAATTTAATATTCCGGATTACTTAAGATAAGGATTTTTAAGATAGATATTATGAAATTAGTTTTAGATAAAAGTGCTTGTTTGTAATGATTAAATAATGCACATATAAATTATTGCAGTTATTGTGGATATTTAATATGAGTGTTTGACCACGTTGGGTCAAAGAAACGTTTATTTAAAAAAATGATTTGTCAATTCAAGGGTGTTTATTTGTGTTTCAGGGGGAAACAGACAGACTGAATTTTTATTTTGCGATTGACTCGAATACATTGGAATGAATCAAATAATTGTTTCAATCCAACAATTAAATCACAACACATAATTAAAACTTCATAAGTGCATCAATCGGAGAAATCGGAGCACCGAAGCCGCTTAACTCTATACCTATATGTAGTTGTATGTATATATGTATCGGCCTTCGAGACGTTCGAGAGCACCTCCGAGCTGATGCTTTGTTTTAGTGTAGGGTATTATACGGAACTTCTGTGACTTCTGTCGCCTATTCTGTTGCGTCTAGTTGTTTAATTTAGTTGTTTAAGATGGCTGACGACGAGTTTGACAATGACGAGTAAGTATTCCAAAATACTTTAATGTTTGTAGTTCATATTTATAAAGTAAATTTAAGTCTTTTGTTAATATTGATTGAAAACATTGTGCGTTTGACTCTAATTCTAACCTCAAAATGCTTATGTACAGATACCCATTCATTTTTAATTTCATACAATATTTTTAATCTTATCAGGTAAATGCATTTTACGTCATTGTATTAGCATATTCACACGTATTATTTACTGCGTACGAATAAAACAAATCCTTTTTTCTAAGCTTACATTGGATGTTATATGGTTATGTTTCTGTTCATCTTTAAGTTTTATCTAAATTAACATTAAGAAGTTTGTTTCTGTTATTGTTCTTCAAATGTTTTCAACTGATATTTTGTAATCTAGGGTCGATGAATTCGATGATGAAGAAGATGATAACATTGAAATGGACCAACCAGAATATGAGGCAGAGAACTTTGAAATAGTTCAAGCAAATGAAGCTGGTGGTAGTGGTGGTGGTGTACAACAAAGTAAAAGAATTACCACCGGCTACATGACAAAGTAAGTTTTTCATTGACGTTAATTTTTTTCTTTTCTTTATGTACTGACTTTCACACAAGTATGAAACTTTTCACATAGATATGAGCGTGCTCGTATTTTGGGAACCAGAGCACTACAGATAGCCATGTGTGCACCTGTCATGGTAGAATTGGAAGGTGAAACTGATCCCTTGCAAATTGCAATGAAAGAACTGAAACAACGCAAAATTCCAATTATCATAAGGCGATTCTTACCAGACCACAGCTATGAAGATTGGGGAATCGATGAATTAATTATAATTGACCATTAATTCCTAAGAGAGTAAAATAAAGTTTTATGTCTAGCAGTCATTATTGTGAAATTTAAAGTAAGAATCAACTGTAAATATGTGAAAAAGTTTTATTAAATGCTAATTATCAAAAAGAATAATTCAAGCGGGTTAGTTATTTGAACAGTGTCGTATGATATGTTATCAAGTGTGAAGTGCGTTATTTGATTGAAACATTCCTTAGTTTGTCTGCTATAAGATTTTCATTGCTGGGTGTAAGAAGAGGATTTCCACTCCAGCAGGCAATCCCACTTCCATTGACTACAAGGTCCACCTGTAGTTTTTCCCAAACTTTCTTTTTTGGATTCAAAACCTCATCGGGAGTTCCACTTTCATATCCCTCAACAATAACTTTGTCCCCAGCTTTACTGTTAACTGGGGGCCTCAAAGGTTCAACTGCTCTTACAGGCTCATCCCTGTAATAAAATGAATCATGTAAAAACTTGACTTTATTTCATAATTAAGCAACTAAAGACTTACACTGATGCACAGAGAACCATCCCATGTGATGCAACTCCTCTAAGATTAGCTGGTTTCAAATTAGCTAGAACAACTACCATCCTGTCCTTCATTTCTTCAATTGGAACATAGTTAACAAGACCACTAACAATGGTTCTAGGCCCAGACTCTTCTCCCAAGTCTATTTTCTCTACGTATAAACTGTCTGCATCTGGATGTCTTTCCACTTCAACAATTTTTCCAACCCTAATATCCAATCTTGAAGGAACAACTTCATCAGCTACTGGTTGCGGCTCTGTAAAATATATGTTTAAATAAGGTGATGAATAAAATAGTTTTGTGATAATAATAAGATAAATAACTTTTTATTACTTTGTTTTTGAGGAGGTGGATAGGCTTTTGAGGTAAGAGACTTGAGTTTTCCATCATTTGCAAATTCTTTTCTAATAGGATCCAACACTCTATTTATATATACTTCTACTGCACCTTTTAAGTCACCTGGATGAATCTCTTGTTTGGCAAAAGAACTTTCAAGGTCTTCATAGTTGCCAAAGGTAATGTCACCTCCTGGAATAATATAAAAAAAGCAGTAGAAGATGAAATAAGAAATTTACTTAACAAATAATAATGAAGTATGTACCAAATTCAGCAGATCTGGGTACAAGATACTTTTCATCATCTTTTAAAAGTGGGAAAAGAACAGACTTTGAAAATGAAAGAAGCCCATTGTCTGTAATATTTCCTGGCTCGCAAAAAGCTTTCTTCAATTTTTTTTTAACTGATGCTGCATTGTCTAACAGATCAATCTTTGAGTCTTCCTCTGATGAAGACATCTTGGCTCCAGCTAATCCTGGTACTAGAAAATCACACTGATTATGCAAGATGTCGGTATAAGCTTTTCTCTATTTTATTTAAATTAATATGCTCAGCTTACTCATTGGGTTCATTAGATGAATACGTTTTTCATATCCCATTGAAGGTAAATACTTTTCAGAAAAAGTAAAAATTTTTCTCTGGTCTACACCTCCGAATTGGGCATCAACTTTTAAATATTCTTCATCCAAGGCCTGCAGACCAGGATACATTAATCCAGATAGTAATGGATTGGCTATTTGCTTAACTACTTCTGCGCCAGCTTTTTTTGCATCATGTTCAGTCACAATAGAACTCAGCCTGTATACATCTAAAGTATATTCTCTAAAAATATAAGATTACAATCAATATCTGATTTTACTAGTAAAAAAAAAAAAAAGCACGTTGTAGACATAAAATTCATCATATTACTTGGACAACTGATAATCTGTTCCTTTAACAAATTTCAATTTATCCAATGGAACATCAATGGATTTTAGCATGGATTTAATGATAGCCTCGTAGTACTGGGTTCTCAGTTCCAGTAGTTCCCAGGGAGCCTTCATGTTGTCAAGATAAGCATGAAGATCAGCAAAAAGTATGGTAACCTCGGCTCCAGCTCTCAAGAAATCAGCAATTTTTATCATTGGTACAAAGTAGCCAATATGAGGCTTGCCAGTGGTGGCTGTACCCCAGTAAATTTTCAAATCCCTCTCTTTCAAAATTGCTTTAAGCTTCTCGTCTCCTAACCATTCAGCCAAATCTTTAGTAATCAAGCTGTACTTCTCTTCCCATTTCAATTGATCCATTTTTGTGGATCTGTTGTGGCTGCAAGCAGTGAAATAAGAGCAGCTCTGTTTACGCTGGAGAAGTAGAGACTGATAGAGCAGCCTTTGACTGAAATTTAACGTTTTTTTTAACAAAATCGAGTTTTTGTAAATACATTTGAAAACATTGAGACCTTTCATTGGAAAAACAATTAAAAATAATTATAGACCGAAGCTTTGTTTAAAATTCGACGTACTTCTCCAGTGTACCTTCAGCCGAATTATCACTGTTTAATTGTCAACGTTAAGAAATAATAATTACAAATATGTTTGGTTGTCGTTGTCATTTGTTTACGCATGCGTGAGGGACCACGTGCTACGTGCACGGTGCATTACTGATTACTGCATTAATTAGTATTACGATTTTATCGAAAAAACTGTCACTAAATACTTACAACCAAAATTTTATCGAACATTTATTTAACTATAACTCGTATTCCACAATATAAATTCTACACAAGTTTTGTACAAAACTAACAATCCGTCTATACAACTTTCACAAATTTCACTTGTTATCATACTACATAAAAAAATATAGGGAAACCGATTTTATTTGATGAAAAAATCTTACAAAACCATGCAAAAACTTACAGAAAATTAAAAAGGAACAGTGTAACTCACGATAGAACGCGAAAAAACACCTCACCTTTCGTATGTTCTCCACTTCTCCACTCTCCAGCTGTCGAAAACACACGCAGCTTAGCAGACGTCTCAAGCGGCTCTAAAATATATAGGTATAATTATCATCTACTGACGTTTTTTTGTTTTCGGTGACGAAGAAAAGCACAACTCAGATTTTGCCGTTTGAAATGACATGGAGAAATATGAGTTAAGCTTTTCTTCGTCCACTGACAAACATTGGCTATATTCGATGCTCCGGACACCCTACGGACATTTTTTTGCTTTGACATACAAGAGCGAAGGTCACCGATGAAGCTGTATCATCCCCGAGGCAAAAAAACGTCCGTAGGGCGTCCGGGCCGTCGAATATAGCCTGTGTTCATCAGTGGACGAAGAAAAGCACTACTCATATTAATTGAATGGTATTTTAACAGGCCAAATCTGAGATGTGCTTTTCTTCGTCGACCGAAACAAAAACGTCCGTAACATACGTAAGTAGGAAATGGCACAAGAAAACAAGGTAGGTCCATGAGCCATACCAATTGTTTTCTTGTGCAATGTTACTTACTAATTTTTTTTTACCAGTGTGTTGCCCGTGCACCCGCACCCGCACTTCTCAGATATGGGTGACAATTTGCGTCAACCAAAATGTGTTTGAAGTAGTATACCTTGTTCTAAGAAAGAAAGAAAGAAAAATTGAAGAAGCCGCTGCTTAGGAGCTCAAAACGTTTCATGACAGTTTATTCATCGACTTGTCGACGTTTTTGGAGAAGAGGTTTTTGGAGTATAAGTATGAAACCTTCTGTACGAGCCCTCATAACCATTGAGATCAACTATTACGGTACAGCAACAAAATTGTTTATGGATTTGATGCCTGAGTCTACGGGTGCTGCATGTTCTTCGACAAGCGACACATCACTTTCGCATGAAGAGGATCAGAAGACTATGGACAGTCATTTCGAAAAATTAAAGTAACTCACAATTGTGAAAAGTTATAGGCCGCCAATATAATTAACCGAAAGTATTTGTCTTTTGATTCCAAATGAATACTTGTGTGTTAAGTTTTTTGTACAAACTTTATATTATTTACCGTTATCGTTGAAAAGATCATTAATTAATTTTTTTTATCTTGATAATATTTTTATAGAAAAAAGGAAAAAGACAATCGTTCCTACAGTTGTGCTGTTTTAAAATATTCTTGTACATAAATCCTATTTATGATGAGCTTATTTGTATATATTACGTACACACGCTAAATTTAAATAAATACGTTGAACAAACATTCATGTTTTTACCATGAATTACGTGGTACCTTTCTAAAAATATAGCAGAGAGACGTCTTATCAAAATTTTAGATCGTGCAAACGGTGCATCATCACATAATGATGTCAGACAAAATAACGTATACCATTATCAGGTATTATCTTACGTCCGCGATTGGGGCGCGGCCAGTCTGGTGTACGAAGAATATTTATGGAGCTTTTCACATGATTAAAAATAATGGCCTATATTATTTTAATTTAGATCAAAATAAAAAGTAACCCAATCGAATTGGATATTTTTTAATTCAATAAATGGAAATACTCTCACCAGTGCGAGTCGGTATGGAGTGCGATTATTTCATTCTTTGAAAAGACAAATTTTACTTTCTCTAAATTAGTACATTTTCCGTCATTTAGAATAATATGAGCAATTGGTTGCGTTAAATTTTGAAATGTGTTGTGTTTCATCCTAAGATATACATGTATTTTAGATACCACGAACACGAATATGACTATTTTCGTAGTCTGTGAGCTTTTGTCGATCGAATTTCTTACTCATCGGTACGGAAATTCCACGTTTGGGTGAGAGTTCCATTGTCATGTAGCTCGGTAATTTCATCATGCAGACATTCCGATCAATACCCATGAGGTAAATTTATCATCAATACAGATATGTATGTGGATACACGCTTTATGCGACCTGGTTAACTAATTTAATTGAAGTCCATAACTGTTTGAAGCTCCCTACCTTGATAGAACCCCAAAAGGTAAGTAATTTTAAATAGAACGAAATTTGTTTAGTTTAAAGAAAAAAAAAAAAAAAAAAAAAAAAAAAAAAAAAAAAAAAAAAAAAGAAAAAAAATAACTGCAGATAAATGGTTTCAAGGGTTTCCTTCATTAATTTTTTGTTGACCCTTGTGGTCCTTTTGTTACGTGTCTGAAATTTAACAACTTTAGTATAAATAAAAAATTACGAAGTATCATACAAGTTAAATAATTACAAAAATTTTTTTTCCGGAGCTCCAACTATACATGTATGTACCTATGTACTACAGAGTACTATGTACAGCAATAAAGCATAATGAATAATTTAATGCTCGCAAGTACATGTACAGCACAGCTAATGAAAATTTTCGTGCTTCTATAGTAAAAATCAATTTCTTACCAAGTATAGCTCGCGCATAACAAAACCTCCCAACGAACTCTAGCTCGTGTTGAAAAATAATATTGTCGAGATAGGTAAAATATAATGAACAATTCCACAAAAAAAAAAAAAAAAAAAAAAAAAAGTCGCATGGCACCAGTTGTAGTTTCCCAAAAGGAGTAATTTGTTTTTCTAATGGACAATTTTTTTCTCCTCACATGCTTCTAGAAATACTGTGAGAGAAATTAATGCTGTGAAACAGATGCGATAAATTTTTTTTTTTTTTACTTCGGACGGATGGATAAAAGTGTAGGTCCCCTGCCTTCTCGTAGTGATTACCTTATGCTCACGCATTTCCCAAAACTTATTCCTTTTTTAAATATAATTTTTTTCCAGAGAAACATCTAGACGTAACTTTTGTATAGGTGCAGACGAAACATTAACAAGTAGTTCGAAACTTGCGCGCGTTCGCCACGGGGGCGTCCTCAGGAGTCCCACCGACCAATCACCAAACACCACATAGCCGCGACCGAGATGGTTGACCAATCGAGCCGAAGAAGTTCCCGAAGCTTCTGCGCGTCCGGCTTTCTCGGCACTCCCTCTTGTTACCTCAGTGTACACGAAATAGGGTAAGCTGTAGGCGGGCATCCTCGTCGGGTATAATTATCATCTACTGACGTTTTTTTGTTTTCGGTGACGAAGAAAAGCACAACTCAGATTTTGCCGTTTGAAATGACATGGAGAAATATGANTCAGGAGTCCCACCGACCAATCACCAAACACCACATAGCCGCGACCGAGATGGTTGACCAATCGAGCCGAAGAAGTTCCCGAAGCTTCTGCGCGTCCGGCTTTCTCGGCACTCCCTCTTGTTACCTCAGTGTACACGAAATAGGGTAAGCTGTAGGCGGGTATACTTGCCCTAGTGTAGTCTGGCAATTGAACGGATGATGAAATTCCTGTTGAAACTGCACAGCAGGCATAATCGAACGCTCGAGCCCAGGGACAGTTGCTGCCGTCAGAAGTATTTTTACCGTCCAAGCTAGTGGTCGTATCTTCGTGTTGTCGTTTGCCTATACGACAGGTGACGGAGCGACTCCAGCTGACATGGTGGTTGAACAATCGGGAGCCATGAGCGCCGTGAAGAGCGTCATCATCACCCTGCCTGCCAAGAGCTTGTCCGCGGCGAAGACCGGCAGATTGACGCCCATCCTCGTCGACAAGATTAAAATGGAGAGCGGAGGCGTGGGGAAGCTCCAGGCGGGCAAAAATTCACCTGCCACTGCTGTCGTCCCAAAGAAGGCTGTCATCTTTAAGCAGGATAACTTGCAGGAGTTGCAGGTCGTGCCTGCTATGCTCAACCGAGGCAAAAAGCGCAAGCTGGATCATCTCACCTGGGAGGAAAAACTACAGAGAAAGTGAGTATACCTGAGTAGTTAAGATGGTTTTTTTTTACTTCAGTTTGTTATAATGTCAATTTGCCTCGTTATCGTTTTTTTTTAAGATTTCGGAGAGTATTGGTTTTTCGGTAATTAATTTGTGTTTGGCATAAGCAGATGACGCAATACCGAAACATGTCGCGTCTTTTGAAAACACTATTTTTCCAATATGGATTAAACATAACTAAGTGCAGCATACGTTAGATTAATTTGCGTTTTTATTTTTTAACGACATGTTTAATCTGAAACTATTATTACAACTACCAATCAACACCTCACTAAGTTATAGCCAGAAACTTATTATTAATGTTTAACGACCGTGTTAATGACGCAATTATATCTTTTGTTCTCCGATACACCCACACGAAATCAAACATGAATTATCGCATTTGACACAATCGATTCTACAGTAGCTTTGTTTTACTTTATCTTTCAGAAAATTGAAAAACAGAGTGGCAGCCCAAACCTCGCGCGATCGCAAGAAGGCCAAGCTCGACGAGCTGGAAGAGTCGGTGATGGCCTTGCACGAGAGGAACAATCAACTGGAAGATGAATGCTCAAAACTGAGACTTCAAAACGAATTACTTGTTACCGAGATACAGCAGCTAAAAAAAAATCAGAATTACAATAGTAAAGCCACCAAGGAAGACGTATGTTCGATGTGTCAAGCCCGTGTCGACTGCGCTGCACCTACGCTGGGATCAGCAGTATCCCCGATAATTGACCCTCTGCAGCAGGGTGGTGTAGCACAGAAGGCACGAGCTGTGACGACGTTGAGCAAGAGCGCCAGTGTGGTACTGAAAATCTTGACCCTCTACCTCCTCTCGAAGACCTATTTAGCGAATTCCAAGGGGAAAATGGAAACGAGTACATTGAACGACTTGAAGAACTCGCCGAGAGCCTTATGCGAGAGGTTGCCGCCCAAGTGGAAACAAATTCTCCTCACACAGATGAACAGGTGATTATTTTTATTATTACTTTTACTTTTGTCGTGATTGTTTTTTCGTAACTATAACTATAAGTAATTTAATGTTTTTGCTTACTTTATTTTTGTAGGATGCAGTCGAGAAAGAAAGCGCCTGCGAACTTGACATTACAGAAGAAATGGTGGGGCAGGCATCAAGTTATGTGGAAGCCGATGCGACTGACGGAAACATAGCAATGGTGATGGATGTGGAACAGAGCCAAGCTCAAGTAATTCCGCAAGTAAATTTACTACCCACAGATTTGATACCGACAATTACATTGAACGCATCGGATCCCATTACAATCGCCGATAACATTGTTCAAATCAAAGAAGAGCCGATGCAAGATACTACCACCGAGTTGGTCTATGGAACATACGACGAAGCTACCAATTGCATCACGATTATCTATCCAGAAGAGGAAGTTGCGCACTTAACCATATCAGAACAGCCACAGAGCCCACAATACTTACTTTCGCCCTCGTACTCGTACGATTCCATGTCACCCCAGAGCGTACATTCCGAAGATACTGACCTTGTTACACCAGTTGCGACGATGGTCAGTTGTAAGTCTGATTATGTGCATTCAGATGCTGGCTATGAATCGCCTGGATCACCTGAGAGTGTTGGAAACGATGCTCTTACGGATCTTTGGCAGGAGGACTTTCGCGAGTTGTTTCCCACCTTGGCTTGAAAGAATATGAATTGTGTGCTCTTTGTTGAATCGTGAGATTCACTTCTGGCTGTGATAAATTTGCGTTGACTAAATATCCTAAATTTATTCAACTTTCGTTATTTTTATATATTTCGTTTTTTATCACTACATTCAGGATCACCGATTGTAAGCTCACCTGAGATGAGTTTCATTAGTACTGTAATCATTCAACAAACATGACCAAGTCATTTATTTGTCATTGTGATTAATCTTTACGTTAGATAATAGTTTCGTCGTCCATAGCGAATTAAGATTGTAAATACTGTTACAGGCGATTGTGTATGGTTCTTTCCTATTTGTAAATAGTATTTATTTTAAGGTATCAATAAATGTATGCATTTAAAAATATGTTTATAAAAACAATAATAAATAATACCTTGATTACTAAAAACAGCATCTTTTTTTTATTACCTTATGAAGAATCTCTTGGTTTGGAATCGTTGAAGATATTAAGAAATCAAAACATATTTCAATTTAAAAGGCCTTTTAATGTTTCATAACTGTTATTATTAATTAATACAATAATTAAGTCATATTGCGCTTATGATCCTAACTGTACAAGTATTCATAAGACTTACAAATACGTAAGTATAAATATAAAACAAAGTTCAAAAATAAAACTTTAATGTTCACTGGATCCTTTGCTTAGTACAATTATTCTATAAATAAAAATTTTTCCCCCCAAAGGAATAAGTTCCTCCCAGTGAAAACTGCGTTATTATTTTATTGTAAAACAAATGTAAATGGGCATTAGTTGAAGAAAAAAATACAGGCTGATTAGCACCTTTAAATCGTTATTCAATCTATTATTAGAGCAAACTGTTGTTGTATCTTATCGACTTACAACACAATTGTAAAACACGCGCTGAAACGATGATCGATGATTTGGTGGCGCCATGGCATACGCATATTCCAAAATGTTTTTAATTTATTAGATCAAAAACAAGAGTAAAGAGAGTAAAATAAGATCGGAAGCATCTCAGAGGAAGAAGACGATAGTTTCGCCACTGGACACTGCGTGGCATTGATTCTTAAATGTTCTCTTTTTTTTTTTTTATATTTTGTTTTCTTTAAAATCTAAATCCTTACACATGTATCAAAATTCACTTTCATCGGACTACACGATTATTGGCTCAGTGTGTGTACTGCTGTACTGTATACTATACTTCACGTGAGAAGGAAAAATACGTTTTCCCAACATGTAACACATTAATAATAAGTTTGCGCTTATTATCTTACAGTCGAACCTTCAACTGTACATATTTAATTAATGTACCTACACAAAAATCGATTCCACGTGTAAAGTGTTTCTTTTTTTGCTCGTTCCGTTCGTTTGTTTTGTTCGCGGTATCGATCCGAGGAGCTGTGGTTACAGAACTATTCATCTCGTCACGTATTATTCGTCATTACACGTTAGCACGTTTGGCATCCAAGTGGTGAAATATATATATATATATTATACCCCTAACTAGCGGTTTAAAATTTTTACTATATATACTTTGGATCATTTTAAAAGTCGTAAACGTATGGCTTATTCCTTTATATACGATGTATGATACATGATAGTTTTTATTTTATTATACTACACAATAATTGTTATCGTTAGCGCACTGATTCTCGAGGCTTGAAGCCACGAACGCGCATACATCTTTGTCGCAAAACATTATTTTTGTTAGTTGCGTGTTCTCGTCGAAAACTCTATCTACAAACTCTCGTGATTAAGTGTACACACATTTATATCGTAACCGACGACCTTTACTGGACGCTGGACTGACTGGTCCTTTCTTGTTCTTGGTCCGATAGACTTTAGCCAAAAAGCTTTTCGAAGCAGCCGTGGCAGTAGGGCTTGTCGTTTTGTTCTTTAAAGGTGCCCTTGTTCAGCTGCTTGAGACAAAAGGCGCAAACAAAGTGCTCCGGATGGAACTTGCGGAACATGGCCGTTATGCATCGACCTGAAACCGAAGCCAACACATTATGATGCCTACTCGTGTTGAAACAGCTCGAAAAAAATACGGCAAATCTCGAAAACGAATCCATTTAATTTTAAAACGTTTGTTCGTTGCTGTACCGTCGAGCAAACGACTCTTGGGATCCACGCGAAGCTCAAAGATTTTCTCGTTTGAACGGCTGATTGATGTATTATTGCGCAACAACTGCATTGGCAAAGACGAGAGACGCATTAGCCGGACGCGTCACTTCTTTAAATACTCAGGTATAAGCATACGGTTTGTAAACACCCGACGACTTTTGAGTAAATGCCTTCTTATTGCTTCTTGAAAACTAATGGTACTTGGTTGTTGATGCTAAGAAGAAAAAAAAAAAAGAAAAAAAAAAGGTACCTGTGATGGGTTTGTGGCAACCGGCGCAGAGCGAGCCTCGCTTGGCGTGATAGTGCGTCTCGCAGTAAGGCTGTCCCTCGTGGTCGAAAAAGGAGCCACCCACGAACTTTTGCCGGCAGTCCTGTAATTGAAAAAACAAACATAAAGTTAGCTGGTTAGTATTTAACAAGATAATCAATGTTTTTCTTTTTAACGACTATCAATTGAGTTAGCTCAAACGATTGTTTGTTTAAACTAATTGTTTTGTATCGAAATTTACTTTTACATACTAAGGGAGCTGCATGTATAGAGTTAGAATTTCGAAATACAGCCTTGATGCGCCCAAGTAAGTAAGTGTAGATGAGATTCTTGTTTTTCACGCTTGAGGGTTATCTAATATTTTTATTTTGCTTAACATTTAACTGCTTATACTCTTACAATGTACTTTTTTTTTTTATTCCTGCAAATAAGAACAATCAGATGTGCTATTGTTCATTCACAGGAAAGATACCGGATCGCGGGACCATTCGATCGCTTTTTCAACAAAATTCAACCTACTTCCGTGCCCGGCAATGCCTTTCAAATCAGCGTTACGAGCACGAGTATGTTTTTTTTCCTCCCGACTTTGTTTGCATTGGCGGAACAATACGCGCTCCTACTTTACAAATCGGCAGACCGGAAATTTTCCTCAGAGCCGAGCGTAAACTCGGTTGAACTTGAATCGAAGCAGGATAACATTTGTTAACTCGATCTCGAAATGGATTCAGGGGGTGAATGAAAAATACAGACGCTCCACCGATCGGGCTCAAATTAGAAGCCCCCGATCAGTTGCGATTTGAAAATACACACAATCTCGGAGCGCCGATTTTTTCCAACCGGTCAAAATAAATCGAGCGCGCAGTTATCCTGATCCAAATTGGCGCGGTGCGGCTATCAGCACCGTTAATAATACCAGAGGATTTCATTTTTGGGCGCTTTTGTCATACCGATCCGGCGTATAAACATACATGTGAGGGCGCGATCGGTAACACGGCTTAAATATAAACGAGGAGATCGGCACGGCGTAAGCATCACCAATGGAGAATATGTAGATAAGACGCTCTTGCGTCTCCCGCAGTGGCGAACAAATATAGAGCGTGTCAAAGAGAGCGAGAGAGAGAGAGATCGGCGACGTCGTATTCGATTTCGACACATAGCGCGCGTCACTGCACACGGCACGCCGGTCGAGGAATCTCCGAATATCGGCTGAATCTCTAGTCGCCGACGTCGTCGTGTCCTTTGCTCTCGAGGCCACGTGCAACCTTGACCCGATCGCTATACAACAGAGACAACAGAGACTGGCGCAAGATGCACTGCCCACGACGGGAGGATCTCCCGCCAATCTCCTTCTCTACCTCGTGATTTTGTTTTTGTTGTTGTTGTTGTTGTTTTTTTTTTTTTTTTTTTTTTTTTTTTTTTTTTTTTTTTTTTTTTTTTTTTTTTTCAATTTTTCGTGACGGTACCTACACAAGGCATATACATTATTCGTGCATGGAGCATGTCACACGTCACTTGGTTCTAACGATACCGGTTTTTGTCTTTAGAAGCACACGCGTACATGTTGACCGTTGACGGATTGGTTTTTTTTGAGCTTTTCTGAATGTACTGTCAGAATTGCTTTTTTTTTTTTTTTTTCATCTTCATTTTCAGTTGACTGCGACGAAAAAAAGATGAACGAGACGTCAGATTTGAACTGTCACTTTTTGTTTTCCTTGATTATTTAATAACTCGGTTCACGGAAAAAAAAAAAAATTCTACAAACTCATTATTAATCACGTAACACTCTAGCGCAAGGTTCGATGTAAGTGTTTCCTCGCGTACTTGTATTTGTATAATGATGCGTATTCGCTCGTGCAAAATAAGTAAACAAATATAAGTGGAGCTTCGAACGACCTTTAACTTGGGCCGTACGTGTATTTCGAACGAACTATTCTTGGCTGAACTTGCGCCGCTTCGTTCGAGTCCGAATAATTGGAAATCATTAACTTCCTAATTTCAAAATTATTTCTTCTGGGTGGGCCAAAAAATTTGTCGAATATTTATAAACCGACCAATTTTCCTTTTTTTTTTTTATTATCGTTAATAACATCGAAGGACGGGTATTCGCGCGCAAAACGAGGATTGTCGTCAATGTTGTTTTTTCTCGGTTAATTGAGGAGGTGTTACGCACACCGGGGTATTATTTATCCAGAGACGCCCGAGATCCCCCGTCAAACGCTTTGCAAACAAATGCGTGAAATTTCATTTTATTTTATTTTTTCCTGCCCCTAACGCGTCCGTCCAGAAATACAAGATCACCGCAGGCACCTTCGGATGCGTTTTCAGCGGGTTTCCCAACTCGCGTCGAGGCGATAACTTTTGCTCGGGTATAAAAATATATGAGAGGGAGACCGTTAAATTTTTATAGTCTTCGAGTTCGCCAAGTGGCACAAATAAATTATGCAATGAGAGAGAGAGAAAAAATGGTATTTGGCTTTTTAAAAATAGGAATTATTTTTCGTGGAGCGAGAAACGGTACAATTTGCAAGTCGGTGTATGGATGATACGAGCGATATGTTGTGAGCTCTCGGTTGTACAAGTACCTTGAACTCGGAGAGCGAGGCCATGAGATCGTCGAGCTCCTTGGTGGCGTTGCTCGCCGTGTGGCCGTTGCTCGTCGCGTGGTAGGCGTCGCGCGACCTCAACGATCCCTGCTGGCTGGACGGCGGTTGCTGCTGGTACTGGTTGTGGTAATAGATCCCATCGGCCGGGTGGACCTCCGTGGTCGTCTCCTCGACGGTCACCCTGACGCGCTGGCCCTCCGATGGCCTGTAGTCCCTTCGGAATCGTGGATGAGAACAGAAAAAGACGTGCACTCGTTTGCCAAAGGTCCGGGGAAGAGTGCAGAGACGAGTAAGAATACGGGGCACAAGGGGTTGACTCGAGGGAGGGCTTGGCCCCGTATCGATCGCGTTGAGCGCCTTTGCCAAGGGGTGCGGCCGACGCACGTGTGCCCTACCTTGCGTGCCGTCATCATCAGTACTTGGGAGCCGCGGTTCCCTTACCCACTCGCTTTTTACACCCATCGGATGTTGGGTGGAACAAAAAACAGTGTTTGCCCGTAATATGCTCGGGTGGTGCGTGCCTTGTAAACCCGAATATTTTTGCCGGGCGAGTTTGGTCCCGGCACCATGTATAAGTTCCCGAATGGTGCTTCGTAAGTACGCAACTTTCATGCTTTTTTTACGGATACATCACACATACTACACTTATTATCCCACATTTTTTGCGACTAGTTTACATCAATCGTTCCTCTCGCTGTAGTATATGTAATGTAACACAACAAATACGCTTACCTTTGTGTATAGCTCTGAAAAAATGTAAAGCGTACAATTACTGTACAGCTCACCGGTGGAGCGTTGTTTTGTCCGACTATACTTATCGCCGATATGGGGCAATATTGACTCATCAACAGCCGATTGCAAAGAATAGAAAAAAAAGCGCGCTTTTCAAGCCTCCGTTGCAACTTATCGGGAAACGCGTGAGGCGTCGTAAAGGAAAAGACGCGGTCACGTCCGATGGAGTGATAAGATGCAACATGTACAGGGATGACAACACTTGTGCAGAGCAGAGTGGACTCGAATGAAAAGCCATACGCGTGTACTTACCCGTTGGGCATTCCGGTGCTAAGCTCCTCCAGTAGGGAATCCACGGTGGGCCTCGCGTTCGACATGCTGCTGGTGGAGCGCAGCATCGGGCTGGTCGTTCCGCCGTTTGTCGCTCGAGTCTCTGAAAATACGGGGACACGCGACCAAGGGATGATAATTAAACCCCTTTCCATCATTTTTTTACTCATGGTCTCCCAATGTGTATAATAATGTTACAAACCGTGAAAAAAAAAATGGGGGGGGAAGGGGCACGGTGGACGGATCGAAGCTGAAAGATCGTTTGGCCGATCGCGGGTTATACCCAGAAACCGTTACGTTATTACCCAGGTCCGCGAAAGAGTTAACGCGCTTGGCTGGCCTCCAACTTGGCTTTTGGGCGTACGCGCGAGACAGCCGGGCACAAAGTAACGAAAACACGCGTCGTTACGGGACGGAAGGTCGCAGCCGGTGACAACAACGACGGCGAGGATGATCCGAGCTCGCATGATTAGCTACGAGTAGACAACGGTGTACGGAGGGACGTGGACTTTTAGCAGTATACAGGCCGTTACCCGATCGATTGTTCATTCGAAGCACTGAATCTCGTTGGACTCTCGTTTGACGGACTAAAATTACCGAAAAACTGCGGAAGGTTGGCACTGGAGATTACTCATCTCTCTCTTTTTTTCTTTTTTAATTATTAGCTTACCATCGATGGGCTTTCCCGGAGTTTCGGAAGAACAATACGTGGGTGGACTCTTGGGAACAAATTAATTATAATATAAAGGCAGACCGACGTGAATGCTAATCTGACTGGCCATGATACTCGAATTTCAGCGCTACGTGTATATTTTAGTTTCCACTATAAAATTCCGGCTCGTTGGACTCGAGGGGGTTTCGTCTCCTTTTTTCTTTATTTTCGGAGAGTCAAGTCAACCGTCCCGAAAATAACATTTCTATATTAAAAAGAAAAATAAAAAACAAATCTTTATTCGGGAAACTATGGGTTTTTTTTGTTACATATTTACGTAAGTTTCGTTATTTCAGTGGCTCATTTTTCTTTGATTATCAAATAACAGCCCCTGGATTGAGTAATTGTGATCCATGACATTTAGATGTTATAAAATCAATTAGCGTGTAAGTCGGACAATGAAATTAATGGCTTTTTATGTACTACAGAAAAATCGCGAATCAACACAATTAGATAAAGAAAAGGGGGAAAAAAAACTCACCTCTATCCTGCGCGTGTGAATTGTAACGCGCGTTGCTCAGGTCCTGCAAAAGTGTATCCAACTCGGACAGATTGTTGTTCAGCGATGGCGCTTTGGGCCCATTTCCGGTTTGGTTGTAATGCCCGGCGTTACCGGCTGTCCTCGCAGCCTCCTCGATCGCCTCTCGATTCTGATACGTGGGCTGTAACATTGGAGAAAAAAAAAAAAATTCCTTCCATTACATAATTGCCTCTCGTTGGTCCAAAGTTTAAAAAGTAGATCTTTGGCCCACATTGATCGTAAAATATCATGGCAACGTGTTAACACGGTTTTTTGAAATAACGATGAGGTATCGCGAGGTATTAAAATCAATAATATTCATTCGCGCGGAGAGAAAACGTTCGCTCCTTGACTCGTGTATCGAAGGCGTGCAAACACACCCACGCGAGCGCGCGATTCGTATGAATTCGCACCAATGACTTCATAAATCAACGCTTAACGAGCATCGCGAGAAAGACAAGCCGTGGGCCTTTTTTTTTTTTTTTCATCGACTGTTTGTCATTGAGTTTTCATAAAATGTGAAAACTCCATCCGAAAAACCCTCACACAACGAAAACGGGTAATACCGATCTTCTCCAGTTCTAGAAAGAAAACAAAGTGATAAATCACTGGCGAAAAAAAAGTGCACACGGTACCAAAGACCCATCGCCGTCGCACAGTTAAACTCGAATATCGGGTCCAAAATGTCAACATCCATCATACAATCCACGCCTCGTGATCGGCTCTCTCTCTCTCTCTCTGCCTCTCGATGCCGAAAATAATATACCGGCGTCTCGTCGCGCGAATACTCATTCGAATAATATCCTATAGCATGTGTATACACGTGTACTTGCATCGAGTTGTGTACTCGGGAGATGAAAGTTATTATTGCCGGTGGGTAGCGATGGCGATTAATCAAACAAGCGATCGCGGGAAAATTGGCGGAGACGCTCGATCGCCGACCGAGACGCGTCCCAAAAGCTCTGTATTGCGTGCATATACATATATACGTGTACAAGCACACGCGTCGGCGTAACGCGCGAGATGTAATGAGAGGACGACGCTGAGATGATTTTCGCGCATTATTTTTGGACGTGAGCGAATTTTGAGTTTAAAACTCGGCGCGTGTACCTTTACAAGATTTGAATAGAGGAATGCATAATCGCGTTATCTAAAATTTGATCTGGTTTGCCTTGTGGTATATGAGCACTATAGAGATATATGTTATACAAAATTAAGCTGGATCTGGCAGCCAAATCGCAGTAGCAGTACCGTCAAACACCAAAAAAACTTCGGACCAAGGAGAATTTGGTATTTTACGCAGAGTAATTACAGAGTAACCAAAATAAATTCAGTAAAAATTATGGCTCCATCCATTCGCGCGAAGTTGCAGCTCGTTTAAAGCTCTTTCGATTATTTGATAAGACAAAACACTCTAACTTTATTCCGATCTGAGTGGCAATCGATAAAACAATAAAGCCATATCATTTTCACATTTTTGTAAGTATTTACCCGTCACGGCATACCTTTTTTCCAGAATGAAAGTAAAAGGTACGTCTCAAGGCGAACCAAATTAACCGTACAGAGCCGAAAACCACGGAACACGGGTTTTTCAGTGTTGGCTGTGCGACACGTATAAACTTTTATTTTTATCTCGTGATTTTTTACAGACCTCGACGTGTGTAGGTACATATAAAATTGGTCTTTGATGTTTTTGCACACTTTTTAAAATACGTGTAAGGCTTGACGTGCAGGCTTTTAAACCACTTGGCCCCAATAACCATCGCTCGATGAAAATCATGACTTTTGTATTATTTCACACTGGGAGAATCGATTATTCTTTTTTTTTTTTTTTTTTTGCTAAAGATACGCATGATGCAGGCATTGCGTTTCAAAATAGAGGATGGGGGAACATTCACAGGGGCAAGTCTTATTATTCTTGGCTGGCGGACTCTATCCAAAATATACATATACCCACGTAGAGCTATACACGTACTCGTGTGGAAAAATTAATTTTCAAAACAATAACAACTGCGTTGGATGAAAACATGTTGAACAATCAATATGAGGTTTAAAAAAAAACTAAAATGAGAAATAATAATAATAATAAGATAAAAAAACCAATCAGATTTCAACTAGCACACCGTACAAATAACCGCGTTAAATATTATTATTTTAAGTAAAGCAAAGGACTTTCAATATTATTTTGGTTTATAATTACGGGATGAAAGTTAATAAACTCTGAATTGAATTATCAACGCTTAAATAAAATCTGACACGTCTCGGGCTGGCGCAACGCCATCGTCTTCGTGACGAAGGGAGTACTAAACGAATAAAGTGCGAACGTTGTCCACGTGTCCTTCGATAAATATGAATTCCGACAAATGCGAATCTCTTGGGTTATAATCAATTTATAATCAGACATTGCGACGTTAATATGTAGGTGTTACATTAAATTGCACTATGTATTATTATCACATTAAACACGAAAACTCGTGTTTGAAACAGACGGTAATTCATTGCCCGTTGAGTTTATGACTGTGAAATTGTCAATTGTCTTCTAAATTACAAAAGAACTCGATTCACCCGTGATTCTCGACTCGATCAACATTTCCGATTTCATTCAAACCTAAAGGAAATGATAAAATCATGTTTTATACCATATCCAATACTTTTTTTTACGTCATCAGTTGTCATACTGCTTACTTTTCTTGTGTAAACGCAAAGGGTATACAAACCATTAAAAGACTGGCTGATATACGCGCGAAGCGAGTGTTGTGGATTGATTATAGTTTCACGATCGACAATAAATAAATAATTTCATTGTAGGTACTAATGTGGCTTTTCTCACGTATAAGTACTTGGGGTTCTAAAAATATATTGGACAAAAAACAAAAAAAAAAACCACGCAAGCCAAAGTGTGCAGCACTTGGGTGTAAAACCTCTTGAGCGTGTAACGCCCGACTGCCACTGCATACGCGGAAACACGCAGCCCAAATTTTCCGCCTGTCATGGCGTAACGCCTCATTAAAGCGCGTTGCTCGAAAGGAGCATATTCCCTTTGTCTTTATCTTCGAGTTTTTCGCTTAACAGCATTGGGGTACATAACGTGTTTTGGAAAAATCGAGGAGAGCGAATCGCGCGGGTAATCAATGTTGTTTCTCTCGAGTCTAACGTGTGGAGGCGTGTACGCATAAAATACAGGTATACGTGCCGCAAGTTTACCGAGGCTATTTTCGGGAGCGGCACAGACTACGTTTTGAACAGTATTGTATCTATGTGCGTGGGTAATAGCTCCGGTGAAATACGGCGTCGTGCGCAAGCGAGGCCTATCGCCTGGTCCGCGAAGGTTAAAACAGACTCGCGTGGGATTCACGCTTGATTTGGTGGACTTTGTTTATTTTTGCAAAGGATATGCGTAAAAAAAAAAAAAAAAAAAAAGAAAAAATTAAAATCTATGTACATCGGTGACTTTGTTTTGTTTGATAAGAATCGTATTAGAGTGGCCGTGAAAATTTATACGTTTTTGATACTCGGTGGAAGATAAATCGTCATTAATCTAGAATTTTTATTTTCATTCGATGGGATTGTAAATGACTCGTCATTCATCTGCTGATAAGATAACATTATGGACGCAATGATGTACAAGAGTAAAATTGTGTAATAGATAATGACTCATAATTTTATTGAGCTCATCATCGAGAGTATTAAAAACCATCGAACTTTTTTTTTCCACTACTTCAAAAATAATGAGACATTGCAAGGTATTCCTGGTGTTGTATAATTCGGAATAATGAATATTTATAGAAGAAGGAGACATTTTTATGGATGTCGAATTTATTTATACAACGCGCGCTCAGCTATTGATGACAAGCTCGCATATAACAAATCTAAATCGAGAAACGAAGTTTAATTGGGGGTAAAAAAATCAGACGGTTATTAACTGTATGGTTGAATATTTATAGATGTTAGTTAAAAATTACATAACGGTCCTGTCCGGTGTCTCGCTTGGATCGATTTATTTGGCTTAAATTAACGAATTCTAAAAAAAGCTCTTGCGAACCAGTATAACACGCGTCATTTATTTATTTTTTTATTATATTTTTTTTTTTTTCATTCAAAAAACATTTATAGGGTTATAAAAACTGATCAAGCCGTTGAAAATAAAAATATGATTTGTGGATTTTAAAATGGACGAATGAAAATTATCCACGAAATCGACTAAATGTCAAACAGACGTCATTAACACATCTCATACATAATAAATTGATCTTTCGTGTCATCAATAAATTAGAGATATTTTGAATGAAATTTAAAATCTGAGAGGTCCATCTTTGGTCAATACATCAAAACTCCAGACTCAATTTGAGTAGCCGATCTCGATCTTTATTCTCACAAAGCTTGACTAACATGTCCATTGGGAATGCAAAAAAAAGTATAATCCATCCACCTACAAACGTCCATATCATCAGCATGTCAGTCACGCCATTGAAAAAGACAACAATAACGTAATCATCATCGATTCAAATCACGCGCGTGTGTGTGTATGTGCTCGATTCATCTTCGCGGCCAAGCGCAACTTACCGATTGCGACTGCAACGGTGGCGTGCCGCGGCTCTCGTAGGCAGTGGTTGTCTTGTACGGGACGGGCGTCGAGGTGACGGCGTGTGCCGGTGGCGCGCGCGTACCGTTAAGAGATCCGTAGCCGGGCGTGCTTCCACCACTACCGCCTCCGACGACTCCGGCACTGCTGCTGCTGCTACTGTTGCCGATCAGGCTCGTGTCCGGTGAGACTGTGTTCTGCAGGTCGGCCAGCAGGGCGTCTGGAATTCAACAAAAAAACATCCCACCTGTCGTTATTTTTTCCAGTTCATTGGGACGTTAAGTCGGTTTATTCGCTATTTTTTTTTCCACGAGGGAACGCGGTTTCGTTTTCTGTCAAAACTTATGATTAATACCGATCCATCTCGAAACTATCATTCAACAAGTTTTCGAGCAATGTTTATATGAGTAGTAGCTGCGCCTAACTCCATTAATCCGGTTTTGCGACTGACGCTAATCCCAACTGAACTCTGCGAACCGATTTTGATTTGTAATAAGTTAAAATCGTTATTTTTTAATTTTTGTCTGAAAGTTAAGTATAAATATGAAATCAACAATTTGAGATGAATATAAGAACATAAGTGTATAAGACTTTATTCGGCATTACTATACATAAAAACAAAAATTAACAAGTGCACCTGTAATTACGTATAACAGAATAATTATTTATGACTAGTAAGTAAATTTCGTGTGAGAGATTAACTATACTTTTTTATCCTTGAAATACTTTTTCAATTTTTTGTGTATAGCTGGTATTTGGTTTAAGTGAACATAAATGTAATCGTGTCGATTTTACGCAGCTGTGAAATATCATTATCGTTGTACAAGAGAATTTTATATCGTCGTATTTCACTGAATAACGTTTGAGGGGAATTTCACCCAATAGATGACTAATCGTGAAAAATATCACAAACGAAAATGTGCGAACAATCTGAATGATAAATAAGTATTTTCGTTGGTAATTATACGTCGTCGTCTTCATAATTTACTCGTGTTTTCGTGAAAATTCGTTGAAATCACGCGAATGAATTAGTCATCTCATTATACAGTGTAATGAGGAACAGTATCTCTCATAAGCAACTTATTTATAGCAAAATGTAATTTAGAGAGCCAAAAATTAAATTAACTCGCCGAAGGAACGTTTAACATTAGTTTGTCAATCCATGTGATAAATGTTGTATGGAAGTGTCCATGAGCCAAAACATAGAAACAATTTTAAACTTTTTTTTTACTATCAACAATATCACCCATTGTGGATAAAGTTAATGTTCAATTTTATTTATAACTTTGTAAATATCTATAGTCGATTAATCAATTCTAGAAACGAAAAGAGGAAACCAACAGTTGCAGAGACGACTGTCGCAAAAAACACCACTTTATCGACACGTTTAATGAAATTAAAAAATTTTTTTTTTTTTCCTTCCACCGTAAACATAGATTACAAGCTAATATTCATTGCAAACCTAATAAAAAACGCAGTGAATTCGCCAGGCTAGTTTGCAAGGCGCTAAACACCAGCTGCAAGTACAGCGCACCCACGCGTATTATATACACACGCAACGTGCGACTATCGAAGCAATCATCGTCACTGGGCTCGTATATAATAGGAGTGCGCCAATCGAACCTCGACGGCGACGGTCAAGGTGAATATACCAGCCAGACAATCTATCTCGTTAAAAAAAAAAAAAAAAAAAAAAAAAAAAAAAAAAAAACCAGGGCCCCCCCCCCATTTAAACATCAATTAGGCAACCTCTCGATACCTATGAAGACCATTGAGCCATGCCATTGAGAAAAAGGTCTCTCTTGCAAAAGCCAATTAATCATTTTGAATTCCACAATTCGTCGCCCTATAAGTATTAGCTTAAGAGAAAATTCGTAAAATCCGTGAGACGAGGAGGAGCTTACGCAAGCACCGATGGCCCTGTATGGGCGATGTATATAGTCGCGAGGCTCCGTATATAATGCATCTGGTGCGTTTTAATCTCGGACGAGACAAGCTGCGGCACGCACAGCTCAACACATAACTATATACCGATAGCCACATGATGGCTCTGTCGGTAGCGTGTCTGCCTACAGATCTTGATGGCCGGGGTTCAAATCCCACTCTGGACAAAAATTTCATCATTGAATGAGGTTTTTTTCTGGATGGGAGTTGTACTTCAGTAAACCTACCGATCCATCTACCGTTTCCTCCTACTGTTATTAAACCCAACGTATGGCTAAATACACTTTATGGTGTCAAAATAGCCATGTCTGAGCCCTTAAGGGGCGATGATGAATATAAAAAAAAAAAAAAAATATATATNAAAAAAAAAAAAAAAAAAAAAAAAAAAAAAAAAAAAAAAAAAAACTATATACCGATGACGGCTGCTTCCCCCCCTTTTTTTGGTCGTCATCGCGCGTGTAGACGTGTGCGTGCATTATTTTGATGAATTAACGCGCAAATTGGGGAAAACGAACGCTGCCCGCAATGATAAGCTCGGGGACACTTGCGTCGCCCGAGAGCTTTTTTGGCTTGCGTATATAATGAGGATTTCGTTCTGCTTATACTTTGACGTGCGGCTGCGGTTTGGAGAGCTCTCCGATGTTTATCTGTGTGCTCTGGCCACGCGTTGTTATGCAATACAATGCAACATGGGTACATATATACACGTAGGTGTGCGGAGCTTTCGAAGCTTGCGGTACATTTGCTGCGATATCGATCAATGCAATTTGGGTACTTAAACTTTTTTTTTTTTTTTTTTGATCGATTATATACCCATCTGTCTAGAGTACGAACGCGACAGTACAAAATAAAAGCTCTATAGGCACCCGATAACGTGTAGTAACCACCGGTTTATCGGAACCAGCTCTGATGCAATTTCAACGCGAAGAACGCTATACTGGTACGTGCGTTGTAACAAATATCTTTGTTCATCTTGAAATATCGAGTAAATATTTCATAATTACAAACCGAAATTCAACTGTATCTAAGGTATGTACAACGCAAGAGCACACGATGACGAAATTTTTCCGAATTCCACAATGGCCTATTGTGCGCCTACATTTTTGTCGACGTGGAAAATTCAATACTGTCCGCTCTTGTGCTTTGTAAGTCCATTTATCGTACGAAAAATTGCGAAGAATCCTATACCACATAGGCAACGATCAAACATACCTGTACATAATGTACAATGATACGTGTCCGAGAATCGCGAGAAAAAAAAAACTTAACAAGTCGTTGCCTTGTTTGGGCCAAATAGGGAGGGTTTCGCAACCCAAAACGCTCGACGCGTTGCACCACGTAAATATAGTTCAAAGTCGGAACCGCAACGTGCTCGTTTATTAATAACAAAACGGAGGCCGAAAGAAAGGATGAACCGCCTTTTTTCGTATACACCTACCACCCGAAAATGTATAAATACGCGCTCAACGCGACCTTGCGCGCAAAGCTACGCGAGCAACCGATGGCTATACGGGGAACGAAAGCTTTTTACGTTTTGTTGTATTACGAGAGTGTGGGATGGAGGAAAAACAAATAAATAAACAAACAAACAAACAAAAAACCGGAACTCACTCATATTCTCCTCCCACTGTTTGTGCTTCTTGAGGGTGTCGGTTTTCAGCATCTTGCCGTAGAGGGGCGAGCTCGGTCTCTCGAACTTGGACATGGCTTCTTTTTTTCTTTTTTTTTTCTTAATGCTCGCAAATTAGGAGGGAAAAAAAAAAAGAAGTGAGAAATAAGGCACTGCGGTATCAACAATTATCGAGAGCCACTCGTAACTCGCTATCACTCGATACGAGGCAACGGCAACAATACAGGTACAACGTAGCCAAGTCAGTCGCCTGTGCGTTACAAGTGTATGTACCCGTATCGCGCACACACGTGTATATGTATATTATATTTTTTGCACACGGATGGGAGAGCGCGTGTTACGAAGAGCTGTTTTTCGAGGGAAAATAGGCAAGTGGTGAGGTATATTGCGCGATGGGTAGCCGGTGTCGCGTCGGGAGCGCGCGTACGTGTACATTAAAGCAAAGAGCCCCGTGCGTTGGCTAGCCGGAGGGGAGTTGTTCTCGGCTACCGCCGTCTCCTTCTCCTCGAGGGGGGGCCGGCGTGGCCCGAAACAAATAATAAATCGCGCTGCACGCTAGAGCTCGGCTACTAGGTGCACGACACGGGTTTACCGGCGCTCGGAAGGTTGGCCGTGCGCTCGGCGCTCAAGTGCCTCGGGTTGCCGAGCTTGCAGGTGCTTTGAAGCGCTGAGCTTGCAGGCTCGTTTGGGTGAGCTTTTTTTCACTCGGGCAGTATCGCAGAGAGAAATTCTTTATCAATTTATTTTTTGTTTTTTTTTTTTACTTTATTTGTTGGGTAGCAAGCTTTGCGATTGAGAATTTCACTCGTTTATCGCCAATCGAGAGTGCGCTTTTGAAAGCTCGTGCGGGGCAGCGGTGTCTTCTCTACTCCTCTTCTCTAGCACAGTCCAAGGGCTATACATACAGTACCTAATGTACATAGGTGCTCAATGTAATGAGTAAATTTTACTACACCGTTTCCCGGAATTTTCTAATAGTCAAGCACATGGATCGCAAGCTCGCCTTTGAGCTTTAGCCCGCGGCGGTTGAGCACAAGAGTCGTGTGTGCGGCCAGTGGACAGGAATGCAGTTCTTGTAAGGGGAAGTTCATGTACGCTCGCGTGGTTCTATTTCACGCGTGTAATATCGAAATTTACAGCAGGCGGTTCTGTACGAGCTTCGAGCTTGAGCTTCTATACTTTGAGTTGTAATTTAATCATAACAAAAATTGTTTTTTTTTTTGTTTTCATCTCTGATGCGTGCTGCACATGATTTGTTGTCAATGGGATTATTGCTGCATTATATAATAATTTACAAACTATTAAATTGAGGTACATGAATGTATGTAAGTGCATACGTACATACGTAAGCATTTTTTTATAAAAAGACCCAAGGATACTTTATTGCATCGAGTGTATCATGGGATTGCATAAAAGTTAATTAGTCGATCATCAGAAAACTCCTAATAAGCAATTTGCAAGGCAGTGGCGAAGGTACAATATTGTATGTACTTCATTTTAAGCGTGGGTTAATTTGTTACATCATAATTGTAAAATGCAACGAATTAATTTCTCCTAGGCAGTTGAGCAATGAAGTACTTGTACATCTTTGGCCATTTCTGCAGTAACTACTTACACTCTTTGATACATAAAAAAACTATCTAGCGCGTAATAACAGCAACAACGATGCGCGCGTATAAATTTACGATGCAGAAATAACGATGGGATGACCCGAAAATAACTATACTCCATATCCACTTGTTCTGGGTTGCTACATGTAATCTCAAGTGGTCTCGCGTGCGTATAAATACATCTTTTCAGTTCCGTGTGTTGCGTTACCAGATATCACACGCGTGTACGCTTCGACAATCAATTTTTTTTTTTTTTTTTTTTTTTAATCAATTACTCGAGCTAATTTAAATTACTAAAAACGTATTTTTAAAACTTGTTTTTGCCATAGTACATCAAAACACTGTCACGGACAATTGCCAAAACACACCCACAAGAGCGTATAAGAGGACGCGCGCTTCCGTCAGGTATTTCATAAAAATTCACTCGAGCACAGAACTGAGGAATAATAAGATAATCCTCGGTTGGTCGAAATACACGACCTCTGACGATCTACAAAAAGTCAGCGAGGGATTAACTCCAGCTCACGCACAAGCATATCCATTTCCTATCTTGCAAATTCTTACGTTCATTGAAGAAACGACCACGCAAGCCGCCTACGACGGGCACGAAAAAAAATAGCTGTTTCTCTGATTTTTTTTCTCTTTCTTCGAGGTCGTCGCGTATTATATGTTTCTTTTCTCCCGAGCATCGGACAAATCTCGCGAGAGATTTATCGGCCTTGCGCACTGCTCGAACGAAAATTCTACTGATTTTTTTTTTTTTTTTTTTTTTTTTACAAACGAATTCTGGTGGAAATTTTTACATCGTATTATGGGAGTACGAAATAATTATTAGGGATGAAGGATTAATGATTTATTTTCGACTCAAATTATGTCGGGGGATAATGAAGCGGCTTACCTAGAAATGGGCCACGTATCGTGATGTATTTATTGTTTCACTGAAATTCATTCACAACGCTAAAATTTTCGGTGAACGTGTAATACGGTCAAAGGCACGGAGCAGCCTAATTTTAATCGTCCAACGGGTAAATTTTGTATTTTTATGGCTTACCTAATGATAAAACTTGTTTATTATGGTAAAAATGACGTAAGTGATATGGATTATTATAGATGATTGCGAGTTTCAACAACATAATGGATGGCAATAAATATTGTAAAAATATTTCATCTTGACACGAATTTTCAAAATATCCACTTCGAAATGCATTAGTTAGAATTTAATTGCAATGGTATGATAAAATGAACTCTGCGTATAAATAAGTAATGAATTCGTCATGTTGAACTTGTAATTTATATCTATAAAAAAATTTATGCTTATTATTATGGTTACTAGCCGAAAATAACGCGCGATTTACGCCTTTTTCTTATTCTGTTTTATTTTTATTGTTATGATACAAATCGAATTAGACATGGCAGGTATGGAAATGCCACGTATTTCATCAATAATTTTTCCCCATGGATTGTGAATTGCGTAATGTCACAATGTTTGTTTTTTCAAGTTTTTTTTTTTTTTTATCTTAAACGAATTAATTTGTATGAAAAATGTTACTCATAACCATGCTTATAATTAACTATACAAGAATCTTAAATTCATTTTTTTTCTCGTTATTCAAGTTGTATTCCAAATTTAATGATTTCAAAATTCTCTCCTATTGAATACAACGTGGCTCAACGTCAGCCAATCAAATATCTGCGAGAACTAACCATCATCTCGTATGCACTCACACAGTCAAATTATACCACGTGGTGTGACCCACGACAAAATTAAACAAAAGAACATCCTTTCAAAACAATAATTACCTAGCTTTACCTAAACTAATTTATGATTATATTTTCACGAAGAAACAGCCTTTTCTGTGTACACTTACATAGTACATACATATTAGATCGAAAAAGCTTATTGAAAGTAAGACAGGAAAATCAAAAGTACGATAAAAAGAGGGGAAACAATGAAAAGACAACTTAACATAGTGAGACGCAATAACGTTAGGGAGCCTGTACATGGGAGACTTGCACTTGCAGGTTCAGGTCAGATCGCCATAAGCCCGTGTGAGTGCGAGAAAGAGAACATATTCGCTCCGAGCCGGTGCAGAGGTTGCGCCCCCTCTAGCCAAAATCAGGCAAAATTTCTTGCATGTAAACAAACGGCTTAGAGCATATATACATGCGTACAGCTGCTTGTGATTGGCACTTGGCAGGCTAGAGAGAGAACGACGATCCTCTCCTGCTGTCTTATTCAGCCAATCACAAGCAGCTATACGCATGTATATATGTTCTAAACCGTTTGTTTACATGCAAGAAATTTTGCCTGATTTTGGCTAGAGGGGGCGCAACCTCTGTATCGGCTCGGAGCGAATATTCTTGCATCTCTCTCGCACTCGCACGGGCTTGTGGCGATCTGATCTGAACCTGCAAGTGCAAGTCTTTCATGTACAGTCTCCCTTACTCGTAAACTCGACTGATTCCCCACAGCGCAGTAGACATAAAAAATCCACACGAGAAAACAAACCCAGAAAACGCACATTTGCTTTGCCCCATCATTATTCACTCTGAGCGTGAAAACGACTCTGTTTACTGCTAATATGCTCGAACGAGCGCGAGTTAAAACGGTCTACGTTGCGACGACCGCGACCAATTGCCAGACGGGACGTCTCTCGGCGAGTATCCGCAAGACTCCCCTTTTGTCGCTTTTTGGAAGCCAGACAGCAGCACTGGACATGTTCTTTTAATAATCGCAACTCCATTGCAACTTCTAAATATTACAAATAAATCATTCATGGACTGTTGCTTTTCAAATACAGTATGCAATTAAATAATATTCTAACATCAATGAATTAGTGACTTGACAAGGCATCGGTACTATCAATAGGAGTAATTGAACGTTTTAATGAATTGTAGCCCTGAAAAGGGCTGGTGTGTAAATTTTCTATAAAATGTAAACGTGTGGTTGGCTGGTTGAGTAAATTAATCGAAGCCGTAGAGAATCCGATCTTGTCTTTTGAGCGCAAAAATCACGTCCATGGCGGTAACAATTCTTCTTTTGCCGTATTCCATGTAAGTGACGGCGTTACGTATGACGTTGCGAAGAAAAGCTTTCAGAACGTCGCGAATTTGGTCGTAAATCAGAGCAGAAATGCGCTTAACCCCGCCGCGGCGAGCAAGTCGACGGATGTCGGGCTTCGTTATCCCCTTGATGGTATTACGGAACAATTTTCGGCGCTTGGCACCACCTTTTCCTAATCCCTTACCAACCATTTTGATTCCACAGCGAACACCGAGCTAATGATCGTCTATTGTTTCTCCAGTACGCATCGCTTACCGTCTACCCCCACTTTTTTGGAAATCTAGAGAGCATGTGTGTGTATGCGACATGGATGTGTATGTCGAGTGTCGAGCGAGCCACAGGCCACACACTGCCACACAGTGCCAGAAAACAATTTCGCTTCTCTGTCGTCTGTCAACATACACAGTACACAGTATACATTTCCCTACGGTGCTATCCTTTTTGTCATTGTTTTTATTTTTATATCGAACGAAGCAAAAACTAGTTTTCAAGCGGGCGCTGTTGACATTAGTTATTTACATTCCTTTAATAATAATATGTGATAAATTTACAAATAGTGCCATAGTGCGCGTGAAAAGTGGTGTTAAAGAACGTGTTCCGTATAAGATACTGTTCCACTATAGAGCCAAGTGAACGTTGGTAGCGGTGTGTACAGAGCAATGACAAAATATTTCTTTTACTCGTACCTATAGGTACGGATGCACAGTGAGAAAAGTACCGTACACGAAAGTGATTTTGGAGCGAGCTTCTCATTTGCGTTCATCACGCTCACTGAGCTAGAAAATTTTTTGTAGCACGTTTTGAAGCTGTTTTAAAAAAAAAAAACGTTTAGTTGTCAATTTTTTGTTATAATGTGCACAATTTCTCAAATTCCATAAGTGAATGTACGTACGGTTTCGTAAAGTAAAATGTATATGTAATAAAAAGTGTGCCACCACGTACTTGCACAAGTACTTTTATATCGATTGATCGGTCCTTTTCAGGGCCGTCTTGCTTATAATGGTTGATCTTTCCTCTAACTCCAGGCAATCTCTTAATGTTAATCACTCACGACCTATTTATATTTAACGGGCAAATTATACCAAAGAGGCACAAAATATGTTTTTATAATGTTGTAAAATGTTATTTTAAATTGTTCAAACATGTAAGTACTATTTAAATGTCTCATTGACTTGAAATCAGAGCAGAATTGGTAGTTTCACTACACGTGTCACTGTAGGTACATTATAACGAAAATAGATAGACATTTAGTGTTAACGATATTTTTAGATTATTTAAACATTCTATATTACAAACTACGTTTAATAATTGCTGACGCATTTCATAAATACCGTAAAATATGATGCTGCGTTTTTTTACTGTAGAAGCAGTTTAGTGTGTATATATGATAAGACGTGCTCATGTATTGTATGTGGACCACACGGATGAATTCGAGGTCCAAGCGATGAACACGCCGAATTCTGCTGCTTGTTTGTCATTTTTCGGTATTTTTTGTTCTTATTTCCCTGCCGGTTGATGGCAATGTACGCGCAAGAGCGTCTGTGCACAGGTTCCATACGGCTGCGTGTCCAATTCACGGGACAAAATTGTAAATAACCATGTATTATTCTCAACAGCTCGTACGAATGAGATGTACCCGAGTTGGGACACGTCGGGGGAGAGAGAATGAGATAAAAAGAGAGGAATCTCTCGGAGACTGCTAATAATAGGGAGAGTCGCACTGTGGCCGTTTGTGAACATTGTACGTCGCGTTTGCTTTTTTGCTTTCGTACGGGGAAAAACGAGGAAAACGTAGGGACGCGCGAAAATACACTTCAGCGTTCAACGGCGCGCGATAAAATATCAATTTGCACGCGCAAGATGATTCATTGGGCATCGAACGCGCGGCGTTCGCGTAAGAGATAACAAAAAAATCCACGAGTGGGTACACAGGCACATTAATAATTCCCCGGAGGAGCACTTAGTTTCCCGTTCTCTCTCTCTCTCATTTTGCTCACTCACCAAACCATTCATCAGTCTCTTGCAAGTGTTCTTGCTACACTTATTCCCTTTTTTTTGTATCTCGTCGTTTTACGCCACTCTCTTGCTTGCGTTTCGCCGAATCACTTCAATGTCTACGAGGGACATTTGTTTCAACTTTTGCCCGAGACGGTACGCTAGGCTCATTTGTACTTTGATGCTCTAGTGGACGAAATTTTTTTTTTTGGAGCAACGCGACGCGTGCACGCGAAACTGATTGATCACCGAAGTGTAGTTCGCGCATGTATACCCATACCCACAATGTACTCCTAATGATAAACATTGTAGTTTTTTGGTGTAAATGTATTTAAATTAAACAGCGATTCGACTTGGAAATTACGTGGTATTTCTAGTGAACTATCAAGGACAACTTGGACGGACTGTACCTCAAACTATGACGACCCGTGGAATTTTCCTCTAGCACAGAATGATCACTTGAACAGGAAAAAAAAAGAACTACGCACGTAATGCTCGTTCGATCTCTCCCGTATGCTTGACTGATTTCACCTACGCCGAGGCTACGACTAAAAGGCGATCGGCGTTTAACGCGAGTGGGCAAGCGCTGGGCCCTCCTTTTTTTTTTTTAATTCCCCACCTTTGTCGTAGCTCTCCTTGTCGTCGACCCATACATTGTACGCCTTGCCATCGGCGGGAGTAGGCCCCGAGACGACCACGATCATTCTGATCTCATCGACGGCCGACAGCGCTGGAATTACAATACACCTTGGGTTTACTCCATCGCCCCGTCCTTACGTACTTATCCATTGCGTTCTCTTCCTCACGTTGCAACTAACCGAACCGTACTACTGGCGATTTTTCAATCAGATCGACCGGCGAGGGGGCGTGTCTACGTGTTTGCTGTTGCTCGTTCGTCACTAGTTACGTTTATGGAAAATTAAGCGACTCGTTGCGCTTAAGGGCCTCCAAGGGTCGTTTGTGGTAATGGGCCACCGAAGTACCTATCAAAGTGTGTGCCAAACGCTGCTTTAAATCAACGTGGCTGTGTCAGCTCTCAAAGGCCACGGTAAAATTGTGTATTGTTACGAGATAGGTAAGGCTTTCCCATGGGAGTCGAGCCAAGGACGAATTCAAGGAACAACGACTCGGGCGCGTCGAAATAACCGGACACTTTGGAGTGGGCGCGGAAAAATTGTTCACACTCGTCAACGCCGGCGAGAGGTTATACAGCTTCTTCAACGTTGGCGTTAATTAGAGTCGTCAAAATTGTAGAGGCGAAATGGCCAACTTCAAAGCGGCCCTTCCTCTCCCTTGGTCGCGGTAGATATACCCATTCAACTCTCGAGACAAGTCGACTTTTGCAGCTTGCCTATACCACGAATAGGTGCATATTATATAGGCCTTTGGGTTGAAAGGTCTTCCTTCCCCTGGCGCGTAATTTCGTAAGAAGTGGAGTATGCTCTTTGCGTGAAGCGTTTAGTGCACGCTTTAAATAATTTTTACATTTGCACAATATACTTAAATGTATTTAATAAATAGTCTCATCATTCGCCTCAACACGATATCGATTGATGGGTTTTAAATGCGTGTCATTAATAAATTTATAGAGCCCAAGCGATGCGACTATCGTTAGATTTCAAATACTACAAAAAATACTCGTTAAGTATGTAGAATACCGATGAGTTTTAATGGAGTCGGGTACCCACCATCCTCCGTGCATAATCAAGACAACTTTGTCATCACGAGCTCATTAGAGCGAAGTATATTTGCCATAATTAAATTTATCTTAGCACTTTTGAGATACATTTTAAGAAGAGTCAATTTAGTGGGGGAGAAAAAAAATGAATAAAAATGATTGCGCGGGTTCACCAACGCAAGAAGAAGAGAGAAAGGCGAGTATACAAACGAGAGCCTCATTAGTTGAGCGATCAAGCTGTCGTTGCTCGCGGGTCTGGACCGGTTGATACTCTCCCGAGGGATACGCGTTTTATTTTCAGCCCGGACGAGTATTATATACCTTTGCGGTGTATATCACCACCAGCGGCGTTGAAATCGACCGGCGATTTTCCCGCCAGTGATATTTCAAATTTGCGGATGGAAATGGCCCCCTACCGTGAGAAAGCTATTTCTCTTATCTCCGCTGTAGCTGTGTAATTTTTTTTTTCTTTTTTTCTGAGTCTAGTTAGTACACATCAAACCAGAAGCGATGACAAGGCAACGATTTAGTCGTAATTTAAAAAGAAATAGAAAGCTGGCAGGAAAAAGTACACGGGTTTTTAGCCAAGTCGATGAAAAAGAAAAAAAAGAAAGAGAATTATGCAAATGAAATAAAATTATTCACTAGCAAGGATTATTCAGATGATTCGAGGTTCTATCCAAACGCGTAAAAATCCTTGAATCATATATTTAAAAACTCGAGCAATACATTTGCTCCTGATGGCACGTGAAACGATGTCAATGCTCCAACCTTCGCTGCAATCCAAAACTATACTAAATAACACGCGATCTGCGTAATAAATGTATATTTTTTTTTTTCCCCTAATCGAACGGTGCTTTCACTTTTCCATTTCAGAAGAGAAAACGATAAAAAATTCAGCATCATCTTTATTTGTATCAAAAAAGGTTTGCCACGCTTTTACACGTCTATTTTATTATTGCTTTTTTTTTTCACTATCGCGTAATTATGAAATAACCTCCAGAAGTTGTAATAACGCGGCTCATACAGACCAAAAGAAAAGGGGGAAAAAAATGTCATCCGCAAACTTACATCCAGGTGCCAGGTTGTTGTTCTGCACAGTGACCCTGTACGGCTGATAAGAGTATCCCGGCTCGACCTTGCCGTACATCGTCCGATCCATATTTTTGGAATATATATAAATATATATATATATTTTTTTCTTTAAAAAAAAAATGAGTCACGTTAACAATACATCACCACGCCGACAGAGCTTTTGCACTAGTGCTGCGTGCACTGCTTACCACTTGCCGGCTCGCACTTGGATGCACCACATCAATTATTATTCGTAGCAATAGCAGCAGTACGAAGTGATTGAAGGAAGAAAAAAATAATAATAAAAAATTTGTACGCACACAAGCACATTAAACGAGTGTCAACTAGGGTAACGTCCATCAGGGCCATCACCAGCGGCAACGCACATATTTGTCTCTTTCCCTCTCTGTCTGTCCATCTAAATAAAACACCCGCACGTATATA